AGAAACTGAAAATATCGAAAATCATCAACACACAATTTATAAAAAAATAATGTAGGCACAGAGGAACCGAGTGGAGTGAGAAAATTTTACTCAGGTTTTTTTTCCAGGTGGACATAAACGCATGCTTAATTAAGGGTTTGATGACATACTCGAAATTCCAATAAATATCAAAAGTAAAACTGCTCTATTTCATTATCACATCTTACCTATATCAATTATTTCGAAGTAGCGTTGTTTCAAATTTCCAAACCACTCCACACGTCCGGACATTTTTAGCGGTAAAGGAAAAATGGCAGCTTGACAGCGCACAGCGGTGCCGTTGAAGAAAGACGTATGAAAGACAAGTGACACTATCAATATTGACAGTGTTGCCGACTGTTTTTTCTCCGCAAAAAACGTTGTCAGATTTCCTGTGTTACGCCTTGTCAGGCCTCAGTTGACCCCACGGTGACTTGTGTGATTGTCAGCAGCCATTTTTTGAGGGTGCGGCAGGATTGCCAGATTGTGCATTAATACCCCGCAACGTTGCAGCTCTACATATAAATCTGAGATTGCTATACAGTTATACAGCTTAGGAAAAACCATTGTTATACATGGGAAATCATTTCATCGCTATTCGTATATATTTCCTACCGTTAACCGCAGACCTGTATCACGAATGAGAATAATAATAGGCAGATACGCTGTGTTGCCAATTTGAGTAGAGCTTCCCGAATTGTGGGGAATTTAGAGTTAAGTGTTGATTCTTTCAAGCTTTTAATCAGCATGGCCTAGACGTTAGAACTTCATAAAGAAAACATGAAGCTGAATGCTGCTGGAGTATAGTGTTTCGAATATTCAAAGCGGAGCGGGACACTATACTCGTTCAATGTGTCATCAAGCCATAGTCTTTTCAACAAAGAAATTATTTTACGAAAATGCGTTATATTTTTACGAGTTTGTCGTCACCAAATCTCTGTTTCTCAAAATGTACGTCTATTGTAGAATTTTCAGCCTTAACCTTAAACCAGGGTTACCAGGTGCTCAGTCACGTTGATTGTCATGTTGTACTGCGCAAGTCAGCAAACAATCTGGCCTAATAAACGTTAGGAATCATCAGGTATTGCCAGATTCCCAAATACCGGGCGCCATAGTACCCGTTATAGTTGTCCTTCAAAGTTGTCAAATCGCCCCTATGGCGCAAATTCGCCACACCAGGCAACTGTGCTATAAACAAACCCTGTTTATCACTACTATTTGATAGTCATATGGTAGTTGTAGCCCTATCTAGCGGTCCATGATTTCTCTCAATACTGTTGTATCTCTACTGGCAACAAGAATAGGGATTACAAAATCATTTATACAACAATATACAAACATGAAAAATATGATTTGAACCATGAAACTTTAATACAATTTTAATAGTTTGAACTTTTTTCATTTTTGGAATACTCTTATGTGGAATCCGCAGCTATTTTTCCCGAAATTTGAGTAGACTTAGATTTCTTAGAAATATGACATGTTGGTATCGGCAACTCTGCGAATGGGAGAAACAAATCGCATTTGTTGAGCGCATCCGTCTAAGCGGTAGGCGCCAGCGCCCGTTCTGCCATCTCTCTCTTTTATCACTCTTCTACTTTACCCCGTTGTCCGTCACACTCCGACGCTGCCACATAGGACCCTACAATCGAGTGTCTTTCACGCACCTACATACTTTTGTATATTTCCATCTCTCTTCCTCATCATAATGTATAATAATGTTTTTTCCCAAGGTGTATATAGAAATTTGGTGGGATACGGGAGATCTTATAACAGCATGTGGCATCAACATTTTACGCTACCTTGACGAATAAGTGCTTTTTTGTATATTAAAATAGGAACGTCAATAACACAAGCTGCTATAAGATCACTCATATCTACTTAGTAATCTGGAAAGGTTCAGAAGAAAACCATATACTGCAAATAAATATAAATTTATTATATAAATCTCATACAAATTTTTCTACAAACAAATCAGTATTAACATTATTATGGACCAGATGTTTTCATTTCCCAGCCTTTGTGGCACCTGCATAAATCAAAAATTAGGAAAAAATTAAACTGTGTTGATATGTTACTACAATTCAGATTTCTTTTTTTATTAGAACAATAATATTATTGTCCATGGACACCCACAGGAATTTTTCTCAGGGGTGCTGATCATCATCATGATAACTTTTTGTGAAATTGTACCTGCCCCTAAAATTTTTTGACAAGCAGAGATAGCAAATTTTACAGGAGGGACAAATCCTAAAAAATTCTCAAAGTTGTACACAAAAGCATACTAAATATGCAACTTTTAAAGTCAAAGCTGATTCCCAGAAGAGACCATGGCCCCCCTGACACCACCCTGTGGGCACACATGCTATTGTTCAATAACAACATGTGGCTTCGACTCCATTGAAATTATAGTGAGTTTTGCATATCAACCCTGCTGCTCTGAGATTAGCTGATTTAAAATGAAGTACGGAAACTAATTAAGACAAAAAACAGTACAAATCATCACTGGTTATTCAGTCATATAAAAACTTACAAATGTTATGGTCTGCAAATATCTTTTACAGCTGTGCCTTTTGGTTAGATCACAAGTTATTTCCGAATTTCTGATAATTCTCAGGACCTCGGAGGTTGACACCGGCGGCTGAACTTTTCGTAGTCCTCCGCTGTTCAAAAAGTTAAGTGGAGATTCCAACAGGTAAGATCAAATATTACATTTCCCAAATGAGTAACCGCTGCATCTCTGATCTTCCTCAGCATCTGCCAGAAGCCTGGTTAGGCTACTGACTGGGATCACTTTGGATCATTTAAAAAAAAACAGTTTTGATTTGGAGTTTGTCTTATAGTATTTACAAATATATTACAGCTTAGGGTACTTACATTTTTATACTTCATAACTCTGAAAAAAAGAGGGACTTTATTCAATTAAATTGAAATGTTTATGTTACGCACAGCGAAAATAACTTGCTGAAAAAGTAAGGCTATTATTGCAAAGCACAGGAAGAAACCCGCCGGAAATTTGAATCTGACCAATCAGACAACGTCCGTTGTGAATAAGTCGCCATTTTTTGAGGGTGCGACATGGTTGTCATATTGTGCACCAGCAGTATTGCTTTGTTTCCCATTCACACATGTGAGTTTCACCCCTGCTAGGAAACCTGCCGGAAATTTAAATCTGACCAATCAGACAACGTCAGTTGTGAGTTAGCCGCCATTTTTTGAGGATGCGACATGGTTGTCATATGGTGAACCAGCAACACTGCTTTGTTTTCCATTCGCATGTATGAGTTTCGTGGTTTCACCCCCTGTGTTGTGTGTAGATAAGATATATCACAACACAAACCACAAAACATAATATACCACAAAACAGAAAACGCTTAAGACTGAAGAAGTGGGAGCTGCACGTTAAGTAATTGGCAACACCGTTGACGTTTGTCAGATGGTTGCGCCACCTACTTACGCTAGGAATGTGCCGAGGATTTCGGTTGTTCATAATTTGAAATGTGCTGAAAATGACACTCATTTTTTTCTTGGGGAATAAAATGGCTATTTTTTCTCGGATACCCGGTTTCGTAAATTTTCCGCGATTTAGCTGGCAGAAATTTTTGTGACACTACTTTGGATGCTTCTACTAATTCCGGTGGAGTCAAACAAAACTTGGAATCAGACATTTTTTACTTTATAGTATTAAAAATAACTTTTGAACAACCACAAAGTTGGAGATATTGAATTTTTTTTTGAATTTGAAAAACGAACCTTTTCATCTGTGGTCTCTATCTGCATGAACAAATAAGGTTATACGTTGTTCATTTTTTATATAAAATACTTCTAGATAGTTGCTTTATCACATACAAATGCAATGCAAATAAGGACTATTTCTGAATTTATAACCTTCTGATATTTTTTCCCCAACTGTGACCATCTATGGTGAAACACAAATGTGCTGGGCTGTTACTGCATTATGTTGAATAAAAAGATTATTTAGCATGTCACTGGTCGGTAACTTAAATTTAAATCCAATAATTACATTGTAGTGTGTGTCATACACTTACAAATACCACTTTTTTTATTCCAAATAGCACGTGTGGCGCCGTTCTGAAATCTGTATTAAACGAGCAATCTTTTATTCAATAAATACAGTTATTGCCCAGTGCTTTTTTGTTTCACCATAGATGGTCAAAGTTGAGGAAACAATATCAGAAGGTTTTAAATTCCAAAACTGTCCTTATTTTATCATGGTTCCTTAATATCTATTAACTACATTGCATTTTTATATGATAAATCAACTATCTAAAAGTATTTTATAGAAAAAAATGAACAAAGTATAACCTTATCTGTACATGCAGCTAAAGACCACAGATGAAAAGGTTCGTTTTTTTAAAAATTTAAGAAAAATTCAATATCTCAAAAACGGTGACGCTTTTATATAGGTAAGATTTTCTTATTTGGGAGATCAGTCCAAAGATTACCTTCTCCTCAAGTTTGTCGTGGTACTTATTGGACACCCTGTATATAGAAGAAATAATTCAAATACTCTGTATATTTTGTTTCTGATTGTTTTGATATTGTTATTTAATAGCAGTTTGTACTTAGAAAAAATATATTTTTCTTTTTCAAGCGCTGGCATTGGTCGTCCCAACAACTTCGAGGATAAAAAAATTGACAGCTAATTTTATCAATAATGAATTGCTTTTATTTTGTTTTTTGTTACGAATAGTGTTTTCCCTAACCGAAATCGCTAAAGATTTACGATCAAAAAGATTACCATAAATTTAGATATGGTACTGCACGAAGTTTATTCCTATTTTTTTTTTACTTGAAAACACAACGAATCAGCTAAACTTTCGTAAAATTGTCATATTGACAGCGTTCTTAGCATATTTGAAAATTGAATAGTGAATGCCTTTGAGTCCTGAGTTAAAGCAGTTAGATCAGACAACTCATTTCCACGCTGGACGTAAGGCCGCTGATTTTTGCCTGAATTAGCTAATTGTCACGTCAACAGATCACGGATACATTCAAAATAAAAGAAAGAACCAACATGATGAAATACGAGTAATATGTCTTGCTTTTATCTTGATTAGTCTGGAAAGGTTATGAGTCGACAGTTAAATCGATTGCTGTTTGTTTCCATGGTTACTTACGCCTATATACAAACATCTAGGCAGCATTCTTACAAATGAGTAAAATATTTGCGGGTTAAAAATAAGTAATTAGTGGGACTGAGAAGTTTCGGAGATGCCCGAGTTAGAGGAGCAAGTGTACTGTTCAGAGCAGATATTCATACCCCCAACCTTCCCGTTTCTGCTAAAGCAATACGCTAAAGCTGCTATAAGAAGTCAGCCAACAGATTTGTTGCAGTAAGTGATAGATATGAATTTACAGTTTTTTTGTTCATTGTGTATATACATATACTTTATATCAGACGTTACTCGTGCTTGCTCAGTAGGTACAACCTTTAGTAAAATGTTTTGGATTAAATCTAAAAGAAAGATTGGGTCATACTGTCGACCAGTTAGAACCAGATTGTTATGTAACGTGAGCATGTATCATCTCCTCAGCGGGAGAATGCAAGGCAATGAAATGTAGGCGGGAAACAGTTCGACTCATAAAAACATAGCAATACTTACAGAGTTAAAAGTGCATCCAAAAATAAGAGAAAAATATATTAACATGGGTCCTGATGATACTGAATACTCTATGGTGAGAGAGGATCACTCTTCGAATTCATTACATACAATTCTCAGTGTCAACATCATTAACTTCAGCGTATTTTTAAGTAGAACTTCCCACGCCACTGGGCACTGGCGAGGAAGTATTGTAATCGCAAAATATTTCGAAAATGAGATATTTTTGGATATTACATAACGAAAAACCGTGTCACTCATTTCCGTCGGTTTGTTTCTCTGTCCGCCTACAACTTGGAAAGTACCGCTCGGATATTGATGAAATTTTACACACGGATACTATTATGTAAAGGCTTGTAGTTTTTGAAAACCGTCCAGTGACAGCGGAGCTACGGTAAACAGAAAAAAATAAAAACTGCTCAAACTTTGTTTTTCACGCTTCAGATGATCCTGGTCATTTTTGAAATCTTTCGAGGAGTGGGGGAGTGTGTACTCAATTTTATGGCGGTAGTATATTTATACTACACTCAAACCCCGTTGATTCTCCGCACCTACTTGACATGTTTCACGCAAAGATTTCCCCATATATTTGCCCATTATAAAACTTAGAACGAGTGATCGAAAAGAGAATTTTTTACGCGAGGTGGGCTGGGTTTGAGTCCTACCGACCACAAACGCATCGGCTCGAAGGCTCGTAATTCAGACATAGGCACTTGCAGGAATTTTTCTCCGAAAGTATCTAGTACACAAAACTATACTAAATCTGCAACAAAATCATGACCTGGAGCTGGAGGCTATTTCTTATAACATATTTGAATGACGATTAATCTTAAAAGTACAGTAGGAATAGGTACGAGGGCGGTTCAGATATGATGGAGACAAATGCTGTAGATGGCGCGCATATATGTCTTAAAGGTCTTGGCTTGAGTATGTGATAGCTGGGTCCCTTACGAACAGCGTGGCACAGCTTTCGTCGGGAGCGCATGTTTCATGCGCGTGCTAACGACCATGAGTGAAGGTCAAGTGCCGACCGCCGTTGCGCAACGTATTGTCGTTAGTTTTTTAGTGTGAGAAGGCATTAAAAACACGGAAATTTTCCTGCGTTTGCGGAATAAGTTCGGTAGTGGGTGCCTGAGTAGGGCTGCTGTGTTTAAATGGGCCAGATCATTCAAGGATGGCCGCGAAACTGTCGACAATGAGTCGCATGATCGTCGACCGCGAACCAGCATCACGCCACATTCACCCTTCCTGGGCACCCAACGTTCCATCAATGTTCCATACTACTCTAACCTTCTGAAAACAGACGTGAAACCTTCTTATCGCTCGAAACGGAGGAGCATTCCAGCAAGAAGTGCGATTTTTTTCCAGGATAACGCGCGCCCTCCTATTACGCGTCTCACGCTCGATACAATGTCAAAATTGGGGTAGGAGGTACTGGAACACCCTCCTCCTCTACAGTCCGGATTTATCATCCTGCGACTACCATATGTTTGGACCACTGAAATAAGCCCTCGGAGGTCAAAGTTTCAACACCGACGACGACGTAGAAGAGTTCGTGCGCACATGGCTGAGCGAGTTGCCAAAGGAATTCTTCGATACCCGCATCAAAAAGCTCCCGGAACGGTGGACAAAATGCGTGATGGAACGTATCTAGAAAAACTTTAAATTTTTATATTTTTTTTCGATAGTAAATAAACGTGTCAGACCATTTGTCTCGATCATATTTGAACCCCCTTCGTATAATTAAGACCAGTTTCCATTGCTTAGGATGGCATCCTTTTTTTAAACAAACATTTATAATGTAAGTGATATGAAAGAAAGTTATAGGAGCACTTACTTTGATCACAATTAGTGATAAAGTGTCAATTCCTTTAGATATTATTTAGAGATCGTTTTTGACGTCATCGACTAATTAGGCTTGTTATCCTAAAATTTTTCTTAGGACTTTTTTTTCAAAAAAAAACGCGGTTGTCCAATTTTTGCACCCTGTAAATATAGACAAATTTGGCGATGAATTCGTGAATAAAACTATACCTATAACCTTCCTCGGGTATAAATTACTGTAAGTGGTTGTGGTTCAGACGTTATGCTGACAGAGTCGAGAGATATTCACATTTATACATTCACCAGAGCAACTATTACATTTCCTTCACCAAAACCTTCCTTCAAACTACTGCAAGACGTATGATCTATACTTCTACGCGAGCAGAGCACCGGGATTAGGCTGGTGGTATAAAAAGCCCAAAAAAGTTAGTTACTTAAAACTGGTTTTATTTGTCAGTGACACAGTTTTTATTGTCTCCTGAAAAATGCAAATGTGTTGCTTGTGAGGTTTTTGAAATAACCAATTCAATTGAATAAGCAACAAATAAGAGATCTAAATATTATTTTTGTTTTAGATGGTCTACATCTTACTTCCGTTGCCTATCGCTGAATATTCCTCCGCCAGTAAAGCCTCGACTTGAGTATCCCATCGTTAAAGATTACTGCAGCATCACACCAGGTTGGCTAAAAGCGTTGCTGCATCAACTGCAGAATACGCATGCGGTAAATACTCTATTCACTTCAAGTTAACATTTTAATATCTTTATATATTGTGATATAATGTGTACTATTTTGATGATTATGTGCGGTACCCATTCAATAGAGATGACCAACTCACCATGTTTCCTGTTCGTTAAAAGAAGCCAAATGTGTAGTCCTGAGTTTTTTACTAACGCTGCTGCCAGCTCGGTGATCAAAAAAGTGACAGTGACAATATATTTATCTGTCTTCCAGGCGTCAGTTAATTTGTCTTTGCCGTTACTATTTAGTGGTATAACACTTAGTCACTAACACTTTTTGGATCTGTACCTTGAAAAGGGCCTCCGAGCCTACATATTATGTGGTTCAACGTAATGACCATAAAACGTGTAAAATTATAACTGCACAATATCGTTCCCGTTTGCGAAAACAAAAATGTTTTGTATTTAGCGAAATGTTAGCAAAACACTCAAGTCTACATATCTATATGGTATAATTTAACGGCCAGAAAACATGTAGAATTACGCAGCAAATGGTGCAAGATCAACATAGGTGTATCGTGTCGCTGTAGCTGGCTGATTCAATAAATCAGTAGATCTCTTGTGGAGTAGCACAATGTTGGTACTTAAAGTTTGGTAAAAAAGGGTCAAAAGTTGGCCTAGTAGCCAGGCTTTGACTCTCCACCATCACACTACTACTAAATATATAGAATTATCAGCATGAAAACTACAGGATAGGTTTAGGTGTTGGATAACTGAAAAATGTTGCCTTCTATAAATGCCAGGGGATTGAAAGTTGTTAAAATTAAAAAAATCATGTGTCATTGCACAACATCTTTCAGTTTCCGACAATTAAAATATTTTGCTAGTGTACCCAAATTACAAAAATGTTTTTGTTTGTTCTAGTTACCATTCAAAGTTCTGTGGGATCGCTGGACAGGGGCTTGCCTGGACCACAAAATTATGATCCGAATATTATGCTTAGGGAAATTCGACAATCCCAATTCTATACCGTGGATCAAGTTTTTAGGACTATGTGCGGCACATTTGACAGAGGTATGCAAAATGTTTTTACATTATCTCTATTTATAAATGTGAGTGCATGTCCGGTTCGTCAGCATCACGTGTGTACCATAATACCGAGAGACCTAAGAATGTGTATACATACAGGGTGTCCCTGAAGTCGACGTCAAGCCGAAACCGGGTGATAGGCAAAGTCATAACAGCTATCAGAAAAATATTTTAAAAAAATTTATGTATGTGTTTTGAAAATTATAGGTCTTTGAAAAAAATATAGAAATTTCACACCCTACGGCAGTCTGTCAACTCCTGTTACTACAAATATTAACTTTTTTTGGATTTCATTTTTACAATGTAATGATGAATAATGCATCTTCAAACTGGTGTCTCAACCTTACTGCCAAATTTTCTCGTTCAGGAAAAATTGCCACTTATTTCCCAACCAAGTATTCCAAAGTAAAACTTTGCTCAACTTTAACTGGCTGTACTGGAAAAAAATGTACTACGAGAGTTTGGCAAGTGACCTTAAAAGTTGGCGCATTTAATAAGGATTCCAAAATGGTATAACACTTAGAAGATTACTCGTTAACTTATGCACAATTTTTATTTGAAGAAAAACTGATGAAAATTTTCCAAAATTTCCTAATTAAACAGCGATTATGAAAACGCACAAGGACCCTTAAGGATAACTATTTGCACAACAGTAGGCAATGCTGCTGATGATGATTTACCTTTACAGCAAATGCTCAAACTGTTTTCCTTCAGCCGCAATACACGCTCGACATCTTCTTAAAAAAGATTGGGTTATTAAACGAGCGAATCCACGGTTATTAACAAACTCAGCTGCTTCCAATAGTCTTTACCGTAGCTCAGCTACATTTTGAATCGGCTTGAAATACACTTTTTCTTTTACAGTTCCCCAGTAAAAAAAATCTAACGGATTCAAATCTGGTGACCGGGCTGGCCACGGTATTGTACCGCCCTATCCATCTGCCTGTTTTGATCGAGATACTCTCTCACTGAGAGTGCATAGTGCGCTGGGCAGCCATCATGCTGAAACCACATGTCCCTGTAAATACTCGGTGGCACGTCCTCCAATTAATGTTCCAAATGCTTTTGCAAAAAACCTAAATAAACCTCAGCAGTCAAAGTCTCTGGGAACTCAAACGAACCGATTATTTTACCATTTAAAATTCCTGTCCAATGGTTTATCTTGAAGCGATATTGAGATTTATCTCCTCTCATCAAATGTGGGTTTGCTACGTGCCACTCGTGTAAGTTATGCAGGTTCATGTATGAATTTTCTTAAATGTGGTCTCATCTGACCATACATTTTTTTCAAAGAACCGTAGATCTTCCCTGTGTCTTTATAACATTGTGCGAGAAAAAGCAACTCGGGGCTCATAATCCCGGGGCAGAAGAGCTTGAACACGCTGTACGTGGTATGGATGGAGCACGTTTTTTTGCAAGATTCTATGGGCTGTACTTTTGGGCACACCTGTTTTTAGTTCTATTGCACGCACTGAAGTACTCGGGTCTTCTTCGACAGCTCCTAGCACCACGTCTAGGCGGTCTGGTACAATACCGTGGCCAGCCCGATCACCTGATTTGAATCCTTTAGATTTTTTTACTGGGGAACTGTAAAAGAAAAAGTGTATTTCAAGCCGATTCAAAATATAGCTGAGCTACGGCAAAGACTATTGGAAGCAGCTGAGTTTGTTAATAACCGTGGATTCGCTCGTTTAATAACCCGATCTTCTTTTTTAAGAAGATGTCGAGCGTGTATTGCGGCTGAAGGAAAACAGTCTGAGCATTTGCTGTAAAGGTAAATCATCATCAGCAGCATTTTGACGCCCACTGTTGTGCAAACAGTTATCCTTAAGGGTCCTTGTGCGTTTTCATAATCGCTGTTTAATTAGGAAATTTTGAAAAATTTTCATCAGTTTTTTTTCAAATAAAAATTGTGCATAAGTTAACGAGTAATCTTCTAAGTGTTATACCATTTTGGAATCGTTATTAAATGCACCAACTTTTAAGGTTACTTGGCAAACTCTCGTAGTACATTTTTTCCAGTACAGCCAGTTAAAGTTGAGCAAAGTTTTACTTTGGAATACTTGGTTGGGAAATAAGTGGCAATTTTTCCTGAACAAGAAAAGTTGGCAGTAAGGTTGAGACACCAGTTTGAAGATGCATTATTCATCATTGCATTGTAAAAATAGAATCCAAAAAAAGTTAATATTTGTAGTAACAGGAGTTGACAGACTGGCGTAGGGTGTGAAATTTCTATATCTTTTTCAAAGACCTATAATTTTCAAAACACATACATAAAAATTTTTTAAATATTTTTCTGATAGCTGTTATGACTTGACCCGGTTTCGGCTTGACGTCGACTTCTGGGACACCCTGTATACGATATCCGAGAAAAGTTATAGGCGTGGTTTTATCCGCGAACTCATTGATACAGAGATTTATTTTATTTTGCTTACGCTTTAAACTGTTACTAACATAAAACGTTGTTTTTAAGTAATGGTGTAAACTTACGATGGCGTTTTGTATCTTTGATGGCATTGATAAATTGACAGCAAGTTGCATGCTTGAAAAATTTGGTTGCTTCATTATTAGCGCGACCTACACGTTCCGTGGGTAAAACCGCGGCACACAAGGCTGGTTCCTTTAAATACTCGTAAATTGAATTGCGTGACAATCTATACAGCACTTTGCTATCAAACGGGATTTACGTCGCGTCACAACAAATACGGCTGTTCGATCTTTCGTTTCTTATACCCTTACTGCCTGTATTGTTGCATACTGCCCAATGTAGTGATGCAATAACTTTACCTCTGTTTTGAAGCAGGATAAATGCTGTGATGATGTGCAAGTAAAGTAACTTGACGAAACTGAAGAAACCGTAGACACGGTTTGTAACTTTTCAACATTTTAATACGCCGATGTACTAGTAAACGAGCTATATTCACTTTCCTGATTCAAATGAAAAAATATGTTCAACATTTGTATTGTCAACAGGACTTAACCCACACAATGATCCTTATTTGTGAAATATTGACAGAAGAACCCGAAGGAGGATCAGCAATGATACCTTTAAAAGTATTCCTTGATTTGTACGTATTTCTGGCTAAAACGGACGCATCTAAACCTCAGATTTTGAAAAATATCCAATTTACTGAGGCTGAGATAAACATTTGGAAGGAAAAGGTGGGAGAAACAGCAATAGATAGGCCGCCAGTAGAAATAGAGCAGCATGGAGGCAATATTTCTACTTACATCAGGTAACTTATTGTAACCAAAATACCGTTTTTACTGTCCAAAGTCTAATTTATTACTCTACACTAATTTATAACACTTGATAAACCAGTTTATGAAATATTTATAACTATGTCGACGTCACTGACTGCTTCCGCCATTTCGTTGGGTACTTATTCCCCTATCGACGAATCGAAAAAACATAGCGTTTTCGCGAATTTCCATGGAAGTGGTCTAGATGGCAGCAGAATCATCTTCAGAACTGTCGAAGATTCACAATCGAGTAGCGAACGGCACAGAAACACGACCTCACTGCACATATGGTTGCGTAATTCTGGTTGCCTCTTTTTATACCAAAGCAGCCGCGCAGGCAGAAGCCTAAATGCCGGGGCACCGCGGCTGCTATGATGATCCCAAAGAAATTTTGTTAATACGATTTTTGAACTGCCTAAGGTTTGCAGAACAGGGAAAAGCTTTCTCTTGTAGATTGTTCCACAATCTCCACACCCTCGGGACAAAGGAGCGGTCGTATCGGCTAGTTCTGGATGCACGAAGTTCGACACGGTTAGGATGGGACGATCCCACTTCTGGCCACCTGAAGAGTCTTCTAGTTGATGTACGTGGAACCCAGAATTCCAGTCATACGAGGGCGTTACACTGACTCTTCCTCAAGACCGTTTCGTCTCTTGCTTGCCTTGGCGCTTCCCAAATAAGTTCCGAGGAACTCTTCTAGCGAGGACTGGACCTTTCTTCCGTTGGGGCTTGTATAGCCACACCAGGTCGCCCTGTTAATAGACACCCTCTTCGGCACGGCGTCGTAGCGGTCCTTCATCTGGTCACTCGCATTTTTTGTGTCTCTACAGGGTCGTCACCTGCCACATCCTCTCCAAACTGCAAGAATGATATGTTTTTTGGTCCAAAAAGGGTACAAAATCTAGACCATATTACTAAGCATTACTAGTTATGCTGGTCACTAATGGGTTTTCAATCTTGTAATCTTCAAATGTTCATGGCATGATACGAATATAGGTTACTTAACCTCGTACAATCATAAAAAGCCAAGTTGATGTTCTGAAAACCAAAGTAATAATCGACAAACTAGGTAATTGATACCAGTTGAACTTTTATTAAAGATTTCAAAGACATTTCATTTAATAGGTGATAGATATAATGATACTAAAACACGTCCGCTAGTGAAAATATAAAGGCACTATAAACGTTTTGGAATACAGCTTTATTTATTGGCTTCGTTCAAATTAATTTCCACCGCCTTCAATACAATTATCCATCTGCCAAAACCAGTCCTTAAACCAGCTTCGCCAAGTTTCACCCGTAACTGTGCTTCATTTTCACATGCGGAAACAGTGCAAAGTTACAAGGAGTAAGATCTGGACTGTAAAGAGGATGTTCAATAAGTGCCAGTTCAATAGTGGTCAAACACTCGGTGAAGTAACATGCAGCCTCCTGCATCCGTTTGTTAAGTCATATTGCAAAACTTTCATAGTACCCTTTGTAATCTCAAATACTTTGCCTCAACTTGACTTCTTGTAGGAATAATATATCACTTGAATCTATAGAGAAAAGCGATCAGAGTCTGGATACATCAAGACAGAGTGAAGGTAACGAAATGGAAGACCAAGGGAGAAGAGTTAGTACTAAGCAAAAGGGTGAGGAGCCTAATTCCAAAAACCGCTAAATACACTTGAGGATATTTTTCGATAAAGTTTTGCTACTGACCATAAAATAAGCAAATTAGGGTTCTTATAGATAGAAAGTGGTCGATGGTAACATAATGTTTGAGATTTCGTTCGCGAGAAAATCTGACTTCAATAGTTTTTCAAAAAACAAACAATGTTTCTTGGATTTAGCTGCTTTTGTAAATTGTTTCGAATTTAGGGGGGTTGGTTCAAAGTTTACATGCGCTTGCAAGGTTTACATTCTGATTACATTAAGTAGAAAGTAAAACACAAGGTGGAAGTGTAGTGCTTTATAATATTAATAATAATGGAATGAATGAATGAAACACGGACGGACCCTTGTGCACCTCAACATTTCTTAGACCTCAAGCCTCGCCATTCTAGCGAAGTTGAGTATCGCCTTGAGTCCAAGCTCCTTAACGTCCTGAAGGTTCAAAGTCATGGCGTGGTCTCTTCTTCTACCCCGCAGCGCTCACACAAGGGATCTTCAGACACCCCCATCACGTGCATGTGGCGCCTTAACGTGTTATGGCCAATCAAGAGTCCCACCAGCAACTTTAGGTTGGCTCTATCCAAAGATAAGCAGAAACGTCTATCCTTAGCGCTGGGCCGTGCAATGAGTTCCCGTGCCTGACGTAGATGTCTAGAGATGCTTCTCTATATCTGAGAGTTGTCTTGCAACCAATTATCAATTTTTCTCCTAACTCTTAGCGCGGGCACCCCTAAAGCTGGCTCAGGACCAACGAGCTTGCTGGCTGATCCTGTCTCCGCCATAGCATCCACTACTAGACAATCCAGAGCCTCCCTGCATTGCAACAAAAGGCTCGAAGTAATCTTACAGGCACTTAGTGCCTTCATTGCAGCCTGTCTGTCGGAGAAGATTTTTATTCTTCTCCTAGGCCCACCCCCTTCAAAATGAGGGATACACAAGTCAGAATCGCAACGACTTCCGCCTGGAAAATAGTGGTGTGTCCGAGATAGCCTAGTCCTAGGCCCCGAGACCTTGGCTCCAGAGCCCTCTTCGATGACCGAGCCGTCCGTGTACCAGACTTGCCTACTCACTTCGGTGAGCCTCCGGCAACCGGAGTCCCACTCATCTCTCGTTGAGTACTCCATATTGAACATGCGGTTGAGCGATACTTAGGGGTAATCACATCGTCCCTGCTCAGAAGGTCAGGATCCTCCCTTTGCAGTTCGACCAGGATGGCAGTATGACCCTTGACAGGATGTGCGACTTCTTTTGCCTCTCCGCTGATCACTAGATCCAACGGTGGGAAATCCAACGAGCCACCATTGCACTCAATGGCGTTGTCTGCAGTAGGCTTGTCATGCTGATACAGAACAAATGCTGAATTTTATTGAATTTAGCCATAGTAGTATCAGTTTCAATGCAAGTCCACCAAACCAAGGAGCCGTACAAGAGAGGTATACGCACTATTGTCGTATAGAGCTAGTGAACCACTTTGGGTTTAAGCCCCCAGCAACAACGCGTCTACAAGCCCACAATGAATTGCTAGCCTTGTTAACCTTAAATCCAACGTGCTCTCTCCAGTTCAGCTTACAGTCCAGGATAATTCCTAGATATTATACTGATTGGGATAGAACTAATCTAGTCCCAAAGAAGGTCGGCAAGACAAGCCCGTCAAGCCTTTTTCTCCCACTGAATAAGATCAGCTCGGTCTTTCCAGCGTTGACAGAAAGATCCACTTCCATACACCATGATTCCACAGCCCGTAAAGCGCCCTGCGTAATCTCAGAGACTGTTCTACAAAAACGACCTCCAACAACTATGCTTACGTCATCAGCATATGCTTGCATTTAGACACCCGCACTGCTGAGCTTAACGAGGAGTTCATTCACCACGAGGCGCCACAGTAAGGGCGACAGAACTCCGCCCTGTTGGCAGCCTCAAGCTACGTTGACGCTGCAGCTTACCTCATTCAGCATAGCTGTTGCTACCCCACCCTCCAGAGCGGATAGGACCCAATTTACTAGCACTGATCCAACCCCGTGCCTAACCAAGGCATGTCCGATGGAGTCGGTTGTAGTGCAATTAAATGCACCTTCAATATCCACAAAGGCCACAAGTGCCACTTCTCGCTAATCTAGAGTCTTCTCCAGCCTGCCGACCAGATTGTGTAACGCCAGATCAGTCGATTTCCCAGCGTGGTATGCAAACTGGTTGAAATGAATGCCAAAACCTCTTCAGCGGGCCATCCCTCAAAAATCTGTCAACTATACTTTCCAAAGTCTTAAGCTCAAAAGATGAAAGGATAATCGGATGAAAACCCTTCGCGTCAGTGTATCTAGCTCTACCCGATTTAGGAATAAATACCACTTTAGCCTGCCGCCAGATTCTAGGTGTGAATCCCGTGGCCAAACATGCTCGAAACGCCTTCAACTGGTAAAGAAAAACCGAATCCCACCCATGCTGTAACATGACCGAAAATACCCCGTCCAGACCCGGGCTTTTGTATAGACCAAACGAATCGATCGGCCATAGCATCCTCTCGAAGGTAACAATCTCCCTTGCAGTGCGCCAGTCCTCCCTTGAGGGCCTGCGCAACTGCATGCATTCTGTGATTGACCGCGCTACTGTGGAACCGGGAAAGTGCGTATCCATCAGAAGCCTCAGAGTACCTTCCTCGGAAGTAGTACTACCTCCCGAGGGATCAGACAGAGATCCTAATCTTACTCTAGTGTCCTTGCATAAGATTCTGTGTATACTAGGTGTAGCAGGATTGTCCCTTATGGACTGACAGAAGTTCCTCCAGGATTCCCTGGAAGCCCTTCTAATCTCCTTTTTGTATTCCTGCAACGCCCTCTTGTAGTCTTCCCATTGGGGAGACCTTCTTCTGTGCTTAACTTTACCAAGAGGTTTGTGCACGCTCGTTTCCTGTCCTCTAACTTCTTGGTCCAGAATGTTGCCTTGCCCCTACCTTGAACTTTGCGTAACCGGCAGTTTTTCTCATACGAAGTCGTCAAGTTCCGGTTCAGATACTCTAAGGCTGTTTCTATATCAGGGTTCCTATAAAGGCTGTATGAGACCCCTCCAAGCTTACTATCAAGGTTTGCCCTGAAGGACGCCCAGTTAGTATGCCTAGGATTCTGAGCATATTTATCCGGAATCTCTCCATCAGTCTTAAACAGTATACAGGGTGTCCGCAAAGCTGGGGTTTTCCTTTACACGACGTGTAGATCTTGAAAACATAAGCAATTTTTCTTAGTACCATATATACCAATGTCTTAAGGGAACCGAGATAAAGGGCTCTGCAACATCAAAAATTACTGAATACCGTCCTGTAGCCGCGACCCGGGACATCACCAATTGGTACAAGGTCACTGGCTCAACCCGACGACAGAACTGGGTCTAGGTCAGTGTGTCAGGTCAGTATGCAACCTTCAACCGACGGTTACGGTCACGCGTGTAGAGGTAATCCCGTAGACGAGAATCCCTCAACAAGCACTAGAGACGTGGATAGAGAAATGCAAGTATCAAAAACTAAAGTGTGGCAAACGCTGCGTGAAGAGGGGCTGTATCCGTTTCACGTCCAACGTGTACAAGCCCTTCAACCTGACGATTTTCCAGCAAGAGTGCGGTTTTGTGAGTGGTTGTTGCATCAACATGACAATAATCCCGACTTTTTGAAGTGCATATTGGTGACAGACTTTCGCAACACTCATGTTTGGTCATTACGCAACATTTTGTCTTCCTTGTTTGCCTGCGTCTGCTCGGTAGCGCATCAGCTGATTTCATTTTCTGTTGGAGCGGTATGATTTCGGGCAAATACGTACTTAGCCCTTCTCGTCAACTGGAGAGTGAGTACTTTTTCCTTTATTTTTTTTTACTTGGTCGCCCTCGTTTCACTACACATTACCTTTGTTATTTCAAGGGTAGTTGTTTCTGAAAAGGAAAACCCCAACTTTGCGGACATCCTGAATATTTATAATGAAAGATACATGTATGGCAATTTAAGAAAATTATGTGTGGAAGATGATATCTTGCTAATGACCGCCCCGTGCTAACTTGCAAATGGTCATTCTTTTGTTAAAATTCTCGATGACACGGTCATATCTCAGCGATTACACGGGTTATTTCCTCTTTCAATGCTTCAATCGTTTGGGGATTGTTCCTGTAGATTTTACCTTTAAGATAGCTCCAAAGGAAGAAGTCCAACGGTGTCAAATCGCACGGACGAACTGGCCAGTTAACAGGTCCGTTCCTGGAGATAACTTTACCATTAAATTTCTGCTCCAATAACTGGATTGCGTCTCGTGATGTGTGACAGGTTGCTCCATCCTGTTGAAACCAAATATCTTGGCCATCAATATTGTTCAGTTCATGCCACAAAAAATCTTGTAACAGTCGTCGGTATCGAAGACCATTCACAGTAACAGCATGTTCACCGTCATCTTCGAAGAAGTAAGGGCCAATCACTCCACCATTCCAAAGACCACACCAAACAGTGACTCATGGTGAGTGTAAACCTTGTTCAACAACCACTCTTGGATTTTTTCACCCCAAATCCGACAATTTGCTTCGTCGCTAAGGAAGATTTTTTTTGGAAAATCCTTCCTGTTGCTCAATGAAATTAACGAATTCACGACATTTTGCATGGTCGGTGGGCTTCAATTCTTGTGTCAATTGGATCTTAAATGCTTTTATGTCAAATCCTTGTGTAAAATACTTGGGTCATCTTGAACACTCCCAGGAATTGCATCAATATTCTCTTGTGAGCGGCCTTCAAATTTCCTCACTATTCTCGATATTGTTGGACGATTATACCGTTGATAAAAGACACGTAATTTACGATAAAAAAATTTATTTGAACGTCCATGTTAATAATAAAGTTGAATTATCTGCACACGTTGTTCCACGCTGTACGTACCCATTTTATAAATTGCCAACTATAGTAGTTTACAAATTTCAGTAAACTATGACATTTCTACTGTCAAACGTAACCTAAACAACCTTACAAAAAATTGCGCCTCTAGTAGAAAACCCGTTAGTATTTCAGGTATTATATTGAAATATTATGGATTTAGTTAGTTTCGTTATTAAATGGATTTAGGGGTCTTACGGAATTAGGTGATTTTGAAAGTAACCCGAGAAATAAGCAACGACTATGGAAGTCATTTAGCAGGTTAACGTATCTAAAACATAATTTACACTTTCTCCGATCAGATGGCATCGCTAAATCAATTTGGTTGAAAACGGCTTTAGAAGTAAGAATCTCGAGTATTTATCATATTTTTTTACAAAAATTCTTGTGTTCTTATTAGGATCTAGCCATGACAAAACTGCGGAACCTAGTGAAAGCATGTCAAAGGCTGTCGCAAACTGCGAAATAAATCAAGAACAGAATCAAACTTCAGAAGCAAAAGGCAGAGAATGTGTGGTGAGTGCAGAAAAAAGTGGATCCAACATTCAGGAGGGACAAGTAACAAATAAAGAATCAGTATCATTGGATATTGATGATGTTATGAAGAACGGTTCGATATGCTTAAAGGTGAGAAAGATTACTTTGACTAAGAAAAATACTAAAAGTACTTCGTTTCTCCGTTACAGGGCGTTAAAGTTTTGTTTTTAAAACATTTTTTGATAGTCCAATTTGAATGAATTAACCAATTTCTCCGCGTTATATGCCTGCAAAAGCCTGACGATTTGGAATTTGTCGAATCGGATATTTCCTTTGATACACGCGAACACTTTTTCTGCAGTTACCTTCGCAGAAACCAAGTTCTAACAACATATCAGGTCGTCAAAAGAATATTCCATATTCACGAGAAAAACAAGTAACAACAACCAAAAATAATCCCAAACGTTAATTAATTCAAAATTGGTGGAGACAAACAACAAATTAACAATCTAAAATAAACTCAAACATTACTTATTAATTCAAAATTTATGCAATTTGTTGTCAAAAATAATCTAACACGACATTACATTCCACATTTCCACCAACTAGAAGCCTAATGGATTTTAACACTTGATATTATAGGAAAGTTGTTCAGAAACATTTTTTTTATCTTGTAAAATCAAAATCGTTGGGAGAGTTGCGAAAAAATTCTGCTATAATTTATGTAGTGGTGGGGGTAGTTTTCACCTTTTAGGATTTTTTGTAATAGTCAAATAATAGTACGTCTAAAAAACCACATGTGTTCCAAATTTCATTCATATTAGACTGTTGATTCCCAAAATGTGTTTTTAAAAGAAAACTGACGCCCTCTAATGAATAAATGAAGCACTTTTTTCATAGAGGTAAATCATGTCCAATCGACTTATTTTGAGTCTAAAAATACTTGGTACTTCCATGTCTACGGAATGTTGGTAGATACACTCACAACTAATGTCGTGAACAGAACAGAAAGAACTTATGTCGGTGGGGAAAAGCGCGTTGGATAGTGGGAGAAGTGCCGTTTCAGTTGGCAAGATGGTTTGGAACGTTTAGCATCGTGTGTTCACTGTACGTCACTACTTTCGAAGTGGCGAGTCTGTCGTTCGAACGCAACGTAAGTTTCGCGTTCACTTTCGTGTTCCACGTCGTGGGACAGTATCAGACAGTAACATCATTTTGAGATGGGTGAAAGCATTCAACACAACAGGTAATGTGATTTAGAAAAAAACGCCATTGCGAAACCGTACTGTTAGAATCCCCGAAAACGTAGACAGAGTGAGAGTTGACACGCTGCAAACCCCGAATCGTTCCGTCCGTTTGCGTGGCAGTTTCCTAGTGATCCACCCGTCCTCTGCACGTTGCATCTTGAAGAATTATTTAGTGTTATATCCTTACAGAATCCAAGTGTGTTGCCCTGCGGCCATCTTGACATTTTCATCTGTCAATTTTACTCTAAAATATCGTATCCACGCATCAATTTCATTACCTCAAGTTTTAATTTTTTGAATTGATCTGTTCAAAAATTCAAAGGGGAGGGGGACATGGGACATTAAAGAAAAGCACTGTATATGAAATGTTTGAATTTGTTTAGAAGTAAAAACGTAACCCTTCGTTTTGCGCATAAAAACAACAATTATCTTGGGGCATGGTTTGCGATTCACGCCGGCAAGGTAAATTCGTGTATTTTGCTATAAAATGCCCTTTTAGCGAACCCTGTATATAGCTTAGTAAATTAGTAGTGATGGACGGAAGACAGGGGTTTTGGGATAAACAATTAGAAATTCTCAACAACTACTTGGCCAATCTACTCCAATTTTGTTGTGGTTGTTTAGAAGTATGAAGCGTACGGATATGAAGAATTTTAAGTACCTGCGTAAAATTATCATCGCATTTGCAACAAGTGCCAAAACCTGCATTTTGCTTCGGTTTTCGGCCATAACTTTTTTACTATTAATCTAATCTTTTTACGTGTGGTTTCATTTTGTAGGTCTCATAAATACCTAAAAATCTTATTTGAGGATTTTTTTCGTTCCTACCAACACTTTCAATTGAATCTCAAAAAACATGTTTCTCATTATTTGTTGTTGAATAAAAAGTTTTCCCACAAAAATTGGTGTACCCATTTTATGCGTCCATGTTTTAAATACACCCTTGAACAACTTGAATCAATAACTCGACTTTACGATTATTTCGATGAAATTTGGTAATATGATTAGGCTGCTCGTACAAAGCAACGTACTAGGTATGAGGGACCAACGATACTTCCGATAGATAGTCATTAATAAGATATTATAACATTACTGTTCTAAAGATTTCACCACAATACTGAGGCGTTAAGAAAGAAAGATATAACATGTTTGAAATTGTACTTTCCGGATTAGGTAGTTTCGAGCTCAATAGATCAATAGATTATGAAATTTACCAAAAGAAAATCATTGAAAAGGGTTTGACCTAGGAATCGGTACTCTATAATTATTAAAGAGAAAATCGAATTCCTAGTAAGTGATCAAAATAGTAAAATAAGGTATTGTGACTTTGGCACATTACATGGATTACTAATTCCACCCTGTACCTATTTTAATAATAATAAATAATAATGATAATAATAATGTTTATTGGTTCAAATACTAAATGTAATATGAATAATACGTGAAAGTATACCAAGAAACACAAACCACCTAATAAAATATAAACTTGTCTTTCGGCATGAGTTATAATAAATTAAACTTGAAATATTTTAAGATACAAAAGATTTTACGTTGTGGCATGTATGAATTTACATAATATATTATATGCATTTAGTTATAATAATAATTTAGTCATAGGAAGTACTGATTTTTGATGTCTATGAGTTTATATACAGGGTGTAAAGTTAGTAGAGAATTCAACGGAAGTCAGGTGATAGAGGCCCTCAAAACATATCGAATGAACCCCTGAATGTGTGGTCCGAAATTTTATAGTCCAGGAGTTATTTGTAATTTTGTGAAATTTGGAATAAAAAACGGGATGATAAACTTTCAATCGCAATTACAACTAAACCATTAGGTTTAGGGCTGTGGTTTTTTCTGGCATGAGCTAAATGGTTAGCTTTAGCAATGGTTAAGTATATCACTTTTTAACAGAGCTTATTAGAAATCAACGCAAAAAATCTTAAATTCATTTTTTTGTGGAAAATATATTCCATCCCCCAACTTTGGAGGTTGGTAAAAAATTGTGTTTGTATTTCATTATTCATTTTATTGTAAAAACTATTTCAATCCATGTAGAATAAACCCTGAAAATTTCAGCTTGGTACGATGTCACATTCGTTGTTGTGATGCGATAAACGTAACAAACGCAATAGAATCCTTACCACCTACAAGTACAGAACCAATTGTGTTTAGCCGCTCTTCATAGCGACTTTGGGACACCATCGCATTGAAAATACATGCGGCTTCGAACGCTCAAAGGTACATCCTCTAGCAGCTCATGTAAACTGCGTTGTAGAAAAGCAACATATGACTGACCATTCAACCTGGCGGGCAATTAATATGGTCCAATTAATTTTTTGTCAAGTACTCGAGCCCATCAATTAACGCCGAACTGACGTTGAAACCTGTGTCGGAGAATAGCGTGTGGATTTTCCACGCTCCATGAATGGAAATTGTGCATGTTGAATATTCCATTTCGGTTAAAGTTGGATTCATCTGTTCATCAGATGCTGTCGGAAAAAGTTTCATCATCAAGCCGTTGTGAATAACCGCTTAGAAGCAATTCTTGTAATTTTTGTAAATGGTAAGGATTCATGTTCTCCGAGCGTAATATTGTGTGCACTGAAGTATGGATATGTTTCTGCTTCGGGCAATGGCTCTGGTGCTTATAGAGAATCTCTCTCGGCTGCTTCTATTTCTGCTGGGCGTATCCTCGGCGCTCCTAAACTGACGATGAGTGCCTAGTATGCGGCCTTCCATGGACGCATACAAAAACGCTGTAGTCGGGATATACCGCCGGTTGTGGTCCACCTCTTCTATCCAGATACTCCCGATACATGCGAGAAGCTGCTCGAGCATTTTCAAGGACAGCACCATAATAGTAATGCATTTCTCCATAATCTCGCGGACATGACATGATCCTACTCTGATGCCAAACTTTAAACCCTGGTCTCATGTACAAGTATCACCACGGTCTTACTTGTGCAAACCGGTTTGTACCGGGAACACGTAGCGTCTGGACGGTGAAACGGTAGCTCGCGCAAACCAAAATGTGCGGCTTGTGTGAACGTCGCTCTGCTAAAAGTTTTACACGTTTTGTTTATACAGTTAAATTTGTGCAGGTAAAATGACAGACTTACGTACTTGTTCTAAACAATTTATTGCGGATTTTATTGATTTATATCGCTCATTACCATGGAAAATAAAATCAAAAGTCTATACTGACTGAAGTAAAAAAAATGAAGCATGTAAGAAAATGTTAGTAAAGTTAAAAGAGGTTTATTACCAGGGAACAGATTACAACCTAAGTACGTTTTGTATACAGGTGTCGGTGTTTGTATCTGACTGTATTTATAGTTTTTTGCAACTTTTATTGAAATAAGGGTTTGAGAGACAGTATGAAAAATCCTCTCAAAACAAACAATTCATCATTTGGCGCCATTGTTTCAAAATAATTGACCGGTATCGATCTCTTCGACGACTTTAACTACAATGAGGTCTGTGCAAACTTACTTGCATCGTGTGGCCACCCTGTGGTATTCCGTCTTTATCGCGCAAACTAGACCGTACAAGTAAGTCGCTGTCGTGTGGTCTGGCCTTTAGATACCGCGCTGAACCATTGCCTGACTTAGTAATTTCGGTCGGGCCGAAGATTGAACGTTCCAGCACCTGGAAGCTGATTTGGCTATTTGCGTAAAAAATCCGGTATTTTGATTGAACAAAATGTTAATACACACAAGATTACTCCCGCTGCTAGGACGAAACTAACAGTACCTCATATGTCAAAAGTTCATTATCCCGTTTTTAATTCGAAATTTTACAAAATTACAAATATCTCCTGAACTATACAATTCCAGACCACACATATAGGGGTTAATTCGATAGGTTTTGAGGCCCTCTATCACCTGACTTCCGTTGATTTAATTTTGGTACGTTTTTTGGACTGTATATGTTTTAAATATGATGGAATAATAATATAAAATGTTGAGCCTAGAAAATAAAATAATCGTTGACTTAAAAGTTTATTTAATATCGATATAGATGCTAATGCGTTTTTAAATAATGATTGATCCACTTCTGAGCAATTCCGATCTTTTTATAATAATTATTCATGAACCACGCCGGGAAAGGTTCCATAAGAGATAAGTGGCAAGACTAGAGCGTGACAAATCATGTATAGATAATTTACATTTAAGTAATTGATGAAATATTTAATTTTTGGAAAAGGGTATCTAAATTTGACAATCTCATTATGTAGGGCATCGCTCAAACATCTGATGAAAGTGCAGGGTCAGTGGATAACTCAGTGACGTCAGATGTGAAGAGGATATTCCATGAGAATATACCTATTGATGATCCTGTGAACAAGATGGAAGATAATACAAATGGCAAAATTTCTGAGGAGAACGAGGTCATAAGCCATAGCGAGGTAAGCATTTCGACACGCTCAATAGCAAATCATATACGAGCATTGAATTATGGATGCCCACATTCGACAGACAGAGATGTTGCCGCTTAGTAGCTGAAATACGCATGATTGGTCATTTGTCGAGATGTTAAATTATAAACTAATTACAAGCGGTTATTCCCATATCAAACGGTAACACCTTTGTCTGCCGAATACTGCAATTTTTAGAAAGAAAAATATTTCTCTGAAACTTAGTCCCTTAAAAATCTGAGTAGCCACTGACAATGTGAAACGCGATGACTTGTGTGTTTTAACTGAAACTTGTACAATAACTTGCAATACTCGATCACACTATGCATATTTGTTGCCTCATGATGATGGAAATTGATAGCACAGGCACTGTTCTAAACGTTACCATTGTTGGAAGATACAAGCATCTAAATAACCAAAATGTATTTAATTTGTAGCCATTTTCATATGGAGAAATACACATCGACGCCATCCCTGGAATTGGACCTCCTGTACCCGATGAACTTATACAGGCAGTTTGTGAATACATGGAAAAGGTTGCCGCGACACAGCGCGGGATGGTGATGCCCAGAAATATCAGAAACTACAATTGTCCTCCTTTGGAGGTACTTGATTACTAAATGTCCATTTATCCCATTTACACGGATCCTCAACCCGGTTTAGATAAAACGGACGTAACCTGATCTGCTTATACCTCACTTTGAAAAATCGATCCACATCAAGACCAGTAATGCCGGCAATATCGCCAAACTGTACAGAGTATAACACGAAGACTGCAACGGATTACTAGGAAAGTAGACGCTAATCAATTACGAAAATGGAACCCACTGGGTTTTCAAAATGGTGGATCTTTCGGTTGCCTTTAAATGGGACACCGTATATTATTCAATTTTCGGATTTAACGCAACATTATGAAGCAATTTCATGTACATTATCCTAAAGCAGTGCCATAAATCCAACCGTTTTTTATTCATTTTTCTGCATTTGCGTCTTTCCCATACGATTTTAAGCGGTTTCCTTACAGGACGGGGTTTACTGAAATAGACTATTTGATATTTTATTTAAATAATATAGCTTTTCAAATTGGTAGTTTCAGGTATATTTTGAATATTTTCATACAACAATAATACATCACATGGTTTTACTTTCCACGGCTACTGGCGAGGAAGAATTGTAATCGCGAAAAATTTCGAAAATGAGATACTCTGTTTTTTGGATATTGAATCACATGAACATATGAACAACATTATTTTTAAGTCTTAAAATTGCCCATCTTTCTACTTTTTTTTTCATGTTGCGTAGTTTTCTTTTAATTGAATATTGAAATTGCCAACATATTTATGACCCACCGTGTATATGTATGATACACCCTATTTCACGAGTATCCATCACGGAACAATGACAGCTAGTTATCTAGTAATATTTCAAAATTCCCCATATCAACACACGACACAATTAATTCTGAGGAATCGGTGAACTCCAGGTAGACAGACCCGTATTTTGTTGTGGTTCTTTGTACGCGCAGATTCATTTTGTAGTGGCTAAATACTTTTATTTAAATAAGTTTCTTTGCATACAAAAAAATCTACAATCACAATGGCTACTAATGACCATGCCAACGTTACACATTAACAATTAACACAAAGATGTCGCTTTTGTGATCAGGTGTTCACCGTAAAGCGTGATCGATGCTCCTGAAATAAGGTTTAGGCCATGTTCGAGTAACATAGTTAGAGTACTAGAAAGCAAGGCCGACTATGCGAAAAATAAAATTGGTTACGTTCACTTGCACTCAGCGGCTAAAGCAACGCGGTATGAGCATGCTCAGAAGATTGTGTCCATTCAGTATTTGAGCTGAAGCAACCTTTATATCCATACCGCACTTTGCCTCAGCAGCTGAATGCAAGACCTTTGACACGCTAGACGGGATTATCGGTCAGTAGCTAATTGTACGACCTACTTATGCTAAAATGTTTATACGGCCATTTGTTTTAACTGGTTACACATATAGTATGTCACTGTTATAGATTATCATCGATTTTTTTAAGGTGAATCTGTAAACTCATATACCCAATAAAACTCGATATCAGCTTATACTATGTTTACATCTTGTACAATTGATTTTGTTCCTACCTGTATTTAGATATTGGTTTGGGGAGAAACAATCCCAGGTTGTAAAGACAAGGGTATATCCACTATTCTGTTGGCATGGATTGTTCGAAATGCTTTTCCATGATATCAACTTTTAATCTCTTTAACACCCGTTTTTCCACATGCTGTATTGTTCTGTATGTAAATTCTTTGGAAAAGTGGGGGTAATTCTGTGCATTGCGAATGAATATTGTCTAATTAATCAGTCGCTCACCCCTCCTGGACCACAATGAATACAACGTTGTTACAATTTCTTTTTACGGCCGACTAAAAATTAATTACATCTTGATAAAGTAAATTATTACAACGTTTTTCTTTTTTAAAATAATTTTATAGCCGTTCTTAAAAACATCGAATTTATTTTTATAACAAACCACTTCTCTCAGCCTAATAATTTTAAGATAGAAAATCGCACTCTACTCTCCAGCTTGTTAGAGGTCATTTTTTATCATTTCTGTGGCCGTAAATACCAGAGCTGAAGGTGACTTGGGACTATTTCCGGTGCTCTGGTGGAGAAATTTGTCTGCGGCCTACTGCCCGATTCTGTGAATAGTTCACTCGCAGAGTTGCGGTTCAAAGGGTGGTGGGGTAGGGTTATTTAGAAATCGGCCCCTCGGCGGTTCTTAGTGTCGAAGCCTTTTTCTTACTGTTTTGGGGATTTAACCGTGCAGATAATGGATGGGAACCGCATACAGGATTTGAGTGAGATCACGTCTGGCAGGAGCAGTTCCCCCATTTTTAAAGAACCCTCATTATTAGAGGGTTCTAACCTCCAGTTAAACCCTCCCTAATTACCCCCCGTTTTTAGATTAACATTTGGAACTTCCTACCAATGGTAGCAGTTCGGCGATATCCAAGTTTTTTTTAATGTTAGTTTTATGGATAACCATTTAGCTAGGGGGGGGTAAACCATAAATTCATTCTCGTTAGCCTGTCCTCCAGGACTTCGCCTTATTTTTTTTTTGTTCAATAAATGTCTGCGTACCTTGTAAGTTGGTGTCTCTTTTACCGCCAGAATTCCAACAGTGATAATAGTTATTCATTTTATTTCCTAGTTTTTTTAAACTAGGTGGCGCCTAAATAGCATCCAAAATCTAAAGTACAAAGAACCTCACACTGAGGGGGCTCATATCTACCAACTGAGCACACAGTTTATTCGGAATAACAAGGTGTGGCGTTATGTCCAGATAAACTTTCACGTGCTATTACATGACATGAATAATTAATATTGGTGTTCTTAGAACTTTGCGTAATTATGCGTCCGTTCTCAATTTTTGGCGTTTTTAAAATTTTGCCTCAAATGTTTGCAAATAACTGATAAATCATTATTTGATCAGAAGGATTTAATTTATATTACGATTCCAGGATTTTTCAGTCATTTTAAATATGCAAAACGCAAAATATGCAATTTCATAATATCTCCTCGATAATAGGTAGAAAGCTGACTGATCTTAGATGGCCTTACAGTTTTGGTAGGAGGTGTAGTTAAAAAGACAAACCACTAACAACATGGATATTTCTATTGAAATATATAAAATGTGAACGTATTAAAAATACGGAAATAACAATATCTTTTGCAGCACCTTGGTTAATCATCAACTAAAAACGGTCCATCCAGAGTTCCCAAACCGGAAGCGACACCTCCTTCATCTGCTGTAGCGTCTTTGGTCCTTAACATATGTCCAACTTGCTTGTTCACCATTATATGCTCAGCATCGCTGTAAAAATGTACTTTTGAGGCTTATGATTGAGATTCTACTTTTTACGAAGCCGAAGCAGCCATGCAGGCAGAAGCCTAAATGCTAGGACACCGCGGCTGCTGTGAAATTTTGTTAATCCGATTTTTGAACTGACTAAGGTTAGTAGAACATGGAAAAGTCTTTAACTTGTAGATTGTTCCTCAATCTCGACACCCTCGGGACAAAGGACCGGTCGTGTCGGCCAGTTCCTGATGTACGAAGTCCGAGACGGTTAGGATGTGAGGCCGAAGTCAGGCGGGTTTGCCTGGCAAGCACATCGCGTGGCGGCATCATGGAGGAGCAAAGCCCATCGATGTAGCGGTAGAAGAGAGCTAGATTGCCGACGACCCGCCGGTATGAAAGGTTCCGAGACTGTCTGTTAGAGAAGAGTCATCAATCAGTCGGACAGCCCTCCTTTGGACAACATCAAGCATAAATAATGTAGTCGGGGCAGCAGTACCACATGTGAAAAATACTCGAGATTAGGTCTTATCTGTGCCTTGTATGTGGACATGCAGAGAAAAGTACTTCTTAGCCATAAACAAATAGCCTAGTGTTTTCCCAGCAGGTACCGCTAATGGCGAGATGTGATGAACGGCTTTTTGGCAGATCTCGGCCATCCACCGTATGATGTGAAAAACCTATAAAAAACTATAAAATGTCATCAGACTAGGTAGTTTTTATGGAGCAAACAGTCATTCCACGTTTGCTCACTAGGATGTTGTGAGCGTCCATCTATGGACGAATGGCTTAACTACACGCATTGTTCGTTGCATATGATTTGTGAAGCCGAGTAGTTTATAGTTTTCATGTCTGAAAAGAAAGTTGGTTGAATAGCAAGATCGCATCTCGATGATAGTGTGTATTGGTCTGCATGTGTATAAAATCACTGATATTTGCTGTGTGAGAAAATCATTACTGAATATGCTGCCAATGAAGTATATCTATTAGCTGTACCCGACGGGTTATTTTTATGTTGCGCTTTGTGAAGATAGGTTATGTTCAAAGTTATAAATTACGATTTTTAACGTTTTTTTTGTGTTTTCAAAAACTTTGAGAAAAATTACGGGAAATCACCACCGCGCTCGCGTTGTGTGTAATTAATGTTAGCATGTATATGATTTGTAATTTGACAGTGTACAGTGAATATAATTATTTCTTATCTCTCATTTTTGAAATTCAGCAAATTTATATATGTAATTTCCAGAATGGATAAGAAAAAGTGGATGCGCAACTAATATCTAGCTTTGAATCTTAAGTAAGTGTAATTGAGGCAAAAATCCAAGGGAATTATCATCAACACATATTATTAGCACACAAATACTCACTATGCACTTATGCCATCTCTGAAGTAGATTTTACATCACATCACAGCCAAACATTGATAACTGAAGCCTCATGACGTTTAGGCAACACGTACAAAACAATAACAATATAATATAATAATAAAAAACAATATAATGTAAAAAAAATCGATATAATGTCACTTTTCAAGATACGTAATACCCGTGCGGGTGAGCGCTAGGATGCTTTTTGTTCAAGACACAGTACTGCGTTTTGGAAGTATTACACTGTACAATATTGTTGCGTCACCAAGTAGTGATAACCTCCACGTCTCTCGTCAGAGAGCAAGTCGTCGCTAGTATTCTCTCTATTTCTTTAAAAACTGCTCTCTGCCAACCACACTCTCAACTAATCGCAGTCGACTTCCTTCCACATTCATTAGCGCTCTTTAGTACGACATAGGCCGAACGTGGACAGGCATCGTTTAAACGGTTAATGCTAGATGACGGATGCCACCCACCTATTTGCCAATCTAGTATAACCGAAAGGTTGCAATAGTCAACCATGAGCCTGTCTGCCGATGGAAAACATTGCAGGGCAAACGATATGACAATACGCAGATGGGCAATGGAAGAAATATTTGAATACTATAATTCGTAGGGGCTTACTTGTAATAAGTAGAGAACCATGCGCGAGCGTACCCTAAACTAGTCAAATTTGACGGGAATGGGGAGCGAACAGTCGCAACACCCGTCCTCGATCAAATACGATACCGTCAACTCAATCTTAATAAAACAGTTATCACGGACGGCCTCATTAAAGAAACAATCCTAAAGGTTAATCGAACAGCTTAAGATATACATGGTGTTCATTTGAGAAGTTCCCACCACTGATTTATCGAAAAAGATCTGTCAAGGGGGACGACTTTTTAACCAAAAACTACTCAGCCCCCCAGGGTCATTATATTAAAAATTTTAAATGACAAACGGTATCGGTAATAGATTGTTTGAAAGATCTTTCGAAGTCCTTTATTTTGACGTTTGATTTTTTAAATCTGCCGATTCGTTTTCGAGAAAATTAAAAAGATCCTTATTTATCTTAATTTGTTTAGATAGAAAACAAAAACACACTAAAATATCACTTTTTATTTCAATAAATCTTCAAAATGTTGTCCGTAAGGATTTGCCAAATCTACAATTCGTTTATAATTTAAAACGGAAACTATACTAAGTGACATATAAATCCGAACACCCGGTTTAAATGGTTTTATTTTAATAAAATTTTGTATAAGTACTTAATGAAGCATAATGAGTAAATGATAAAAATTTCAAAATGATTTCACTGCTTTAAAGACCTTTGACCTTTAATAATGTGCGGATGCACCCTGATGTGCTACGCATTCTCCAACGCGCCTAGGTATGCTTCTGATCAGGTGGTCAATGTCCTCCTGTGGTATCTCATTCCAGTCAACCACCAACTCCTCTCGAAGTGCTTCTAGAGTCTGAGGAGGACGTTGCAAATTGAGCAATCTCCTACCCATCATATCCCACACGTGCTCAATTGGGGATAAGTCGGGAGATCTTGGTGGCCATGGTAACAATGTGACATCATTATGTTGAAAGAAGTCTTGAAGAAGAAGAAGAAGAAGACTCTTGCAACATGTGGTCGGGCATTATCTTGTTGGAAAGTTGGATCTGCCAGGGTGTCAAGATAGGGTAAAAGATGGGGTTCTAGAATTTCGTGGATATAACGCTGCGCGTTCATGTTACCTCTGATGAAGATTAAAGGTGACCTGGAACCACAAGCTATAGCACCCCAAACCATAACTCCAACAGTGTGATGAACATGTCTTTCAACAAAAAACTGTGGATTCCTCCTTTCACCACGTCGCCTTCTAACCCTGGCACGACCATCGTGCATGCCTAAACAAAATCGAGACTCGTCACTAAAGACAATACTGTTTCATTCCTGATCCCAGAGTGACCGTTATCTGCACCACTCAAGGCGATTACGTCGGTGTTCTCGAGTTAAAGGGAGGACCCACTGTGGCCGGTATGAAAACAAGCCAAAACTTCTCATTCGTCGGTAAACACTTCGCATGCCAATAGGTCTTCCGTGTTCTGCAAACCATTCATTTGCAATGGACCTGGTAGTGGAGAAACGGTCCCTTAAGGCCAATAATCTTAGGCGGCGTTCTTCACGGTCTGTTGTTCTACGGCTGCGTCCAGTGCCCCTTGCTCTTTGCGTACGGCCTTCTCGAAGCCATGCCTGACAATACCTAACCACAGTGTCTACACTTCTTTGCACTCTAACTGCAATTGCCCGAAAAGAAAGTCCAGCTTCCCGAAGTCCCACTATACGGCCCCTATCAAACTCACTAAGTTGACGAAATCGTACAGGTCTCCGTACTCTAGGCATCGTAACCGATCGTAAAGGATACCAAGAACCAAAATCCGCCAACGTTGATTCTTTACTGCGGCTGAAATATTCATTTTTAGAGCGTTAGTGAATTAAAAAAAAGCAGTATAAAAACCGGAATGTCCAACTGATAAGGCTGAACATTTTTTCACTTAATATTTACAGTAAGATAAATACATTCACCAACTTTTATTAAAATAAAACCATTTAAACTGGGTGTTCGGATTTATATGTCACTTAGTATAATAATAATCTCGTTTTGGAAGAATCTATACAAAAACGTAGGTAATACAGAATTAAACATCCAATTAAAAAAAATCATAACGTCGTTTTTTCAATTGAATAAATTCTATTGCATATTCAGATAAGACACTTCCAAAAGAAGAATTGATATAACATACTGTGTGCGTTTTGATATTTTTTTATTGAGTTATAAGCGATTCACTGTGTAAAAACGCTCAATTTGATAGCTTGTCCGTCTATCATCTTAAATTATAATCAATATATATTAAAGGAATATAAAGTACCGATAGACAGTTCTAATTAAGCCATCATATGGCTCCCCCATTCTATTTAACTAAATGTTCTGAGATGACGCCCAATTATCACTTTCAGCTCCTTAATTTCATCTATTCAAAAAATAATTCGATGGGACCTTTATGAAAGGCTAAATCTTCACAACACATCATAGCAATTATCAACAATTCGGTTTGAGTAGATGTTAGATGGGCCGTGGTAAATTATAATAATATGTATATAGTTACTAACCCAATGATGACACCGAAGATTCCTAACTCTGAAACCAAATTGCTCAGCGGGGGAACCTTAGGTCCACCAGGTCGAACCACATAACCTCTTGTCAAAGGAGGACATATTTTTTCCATTAGGATCCAAGCTGTTCTCTCTTTGCTATCCTTCATCCCCATTATAGCATCCTTTATTTTAAAACCATATATGTTGTTGCCGCCTCCTTCCCTTTGAGGTTTCAAAACGTACCTACAAACCAAATAAATCAATAACTATAGAGGGTACGATATGCATGGAATTATAAAGGCATCACCTACAGGACATTTGAGACTTAACCGCTCTGAAACCGAATACGTTTAATGAAATAATTGTTCTATTATTAAACCAAAAACACCTATTGGAAATTGAAGAGTATAACTTGCAAACGGTCTAAGTGCCAAAAAACAAATTCACAAATAACTGAGAAAAACTACTTTATTTGAAAAATATAACGATTTATTCTACCAAACGTGTTTTACAGCTTTTTCTAACCAGTTCAATGCTTACCAAAAAAAACTATTTTGAAAATAAGAAAAAATAAGGCAAAAAATCAAATATAAATCAGATATTCGTAAAAAGTAGTCAAGTCCAATACTATCGTATTACACAAAAAAGGGTCTATGTGCAAAATACATTTTATCTAAAAAAAGGTCTATGCGAAAATTGCATTCAGTCATTCTCTGCCGAGTTCTCTGCTCTTTTTGTTTGCACCGAAGTTTCAGAATTTGAATATTTTTACAGATCATTGAATGTTTTCTTAGTTTGTACTTTTGTAGGATATTCTCTTGAAATCCGAATCCAACACACTGAGGCAATATTTAAATTTTTAGTATTTAAGACGGAATCGCATGCCATTTGAAAATCTTTAAAGTCTGGCCGTTCTAATGAATGAGCAACAAAAGAACTATTGGGGTGCGCCCCATATCATATTTTTGTAATATCTTCTGGGACAAAAGTCTTAGTGTCACGAGCACGTTTCTCGATTTGTGCGATATCACGATCGCACGCTAAATATGAATGACCACCTCAAAAACTTTTACTCAATACTGTCAAATTTTCCAGTAGTTACAAGTTACACTAGCATATGATTCTTGTTTTGGCCAATTCAGATATCTGACCAAATTAAAAGATTTTTCTTAAATGGAAAACATTCATCTTCCTTTGGGTTACCACAGAAACGTCTTTCTCATCAAGGTGTCTCTGTGGTAACATGACCAACAACAAATCATATCTACCATTTTGGTAGTTTATGGTTGAGGTGTCAGACAAAATTATGTCCAAAAACCTTACTTTCGTATTAGAGTTAAACATATTTTGAGACATGACGCCAAAGTTTCCGATTATCGTAAAAAATGGTTAAGAATGCAATTTTTCAGGGAACATAACAGATTTTCAAATTTCTATATATTCTGCCCAGCGACAAAATGGAAGATAGGAGTCGGTAGGTGTGTCGGTATTGTCTCTGTCAAATCCTTCTAAGTGATAATTTTTTCCTGTGAGGTGTTTCCTGTGGGGTGTTTAATACCAAAAATACCATCCACCACCCACTAGCAGTACTTCGATCGACATCCATTCAGGCACCGTTTACTCGTACAGTGATGAAAGTGGTGGTGAAAGTTCTTTTGATACCTCAATAGTTTATAGTTATTAATGAATGAATAATTAGGTAATAATGGTATGTCGCGTAGATAATGCTTTTTGTGCATTCATTAATATTTTTTATGAATATATCCAAATCACAGTCCAAGACCATATTATGTCATGCACAATGCTTGACAACATCGCCATTTCCCGCCCACATTCTGTTGCCTTGCATTATCTCGCCAGCTGATAATATTATGTGTTTGTACTGGTTATGCAGGAACTTCGGAGGTATATTTGAGGGTATCATGGTGCTTAATAAAGGTAACATGAACGGGGAAGTGAATACAGGTTCCAAAAAGACGACGATAATGTTGTTGAAACTTATCCTGTGGTTCTCTCGTTTATTCATCTCAATGTTTCACAGGCCGAGAAATAAAACCACAGATACAGAATTGAAAGTTACTAACATTCAACATACTTTGAAAAACATTAGTAAGTCTTCCAAATCTGCATCTGTGGTTTTATTTGATGGCCAGTGAAACTGAGACTCAAGGATCAAGATGTAAATGAAGTCTTAAAAACTAAGGAGTTGTCTCTTCTCTTCAATGGAACAAATACTATACTAACAAATCTACCTTTCTGGATTCCTGATGGCTAATTGAACAGCTTGGTTACCAGCATCATCAAATTCTAAACCATATATGCCCACGAATAGTTCCCTTATGGATTCTAATTTCTTAGCATCATCAAAAAATAGTTCTAACACTCCTGGTTTGCATAGTTCCTGTTGCACTTTTTTCGTACCGGCTAAGTGGTATTGGATGGATGGACACTTGATAGCTTTAGATCTGCAAAAATACATTGAATAATTTCATAATTTACGACACTTATTTAGTGCAATGGAGTAACTGTTTTTCAAAATCCGCTATACCACAACCCGGGGCTCCTTTTCGAGAACAATGTCAGCACGCACGCAAAACTAAGACGCAGGGTGCTGATAGTATGTTCCTTGATCCGAGTTAAATTAGGGGTGGGTTGAGTTACGAGATTAGCTAACTCAAAAATTCTATCAATCTGTGACCGGTTCAGAGAAAACGTCGCTACCGCAATTTGAAATATACCAAGAATGTGATTTTGTATTAACCTCACATATTATAACTAACAAGTCCACTCCTAACACCCGAGACATATACTAAGTGACATATAAATCCGAACACCCAGTTTAAATGGTTTTATTTTAATAAAAGTTGGTGAATGTATTTATCTTACTGTAAATAACAAGTGAAAAAATTTTTAGCCTTATCAGTTGGACATTCCGGTTTTTATACTGATTTTTTTTAATTCACTAACGCTCTAAAAATGAATATTTCAGCCGCAGTAAAGAATCAACGTTGGCGGATTTCGGTTCTTGACATCCTTTACGATCGGTTACGATGCCTAGAGTACGGAGACCTGTACGATTTCGTCAACTTAGTGAGTTTGATAGGGGCCTGGATGCCGCCGTAGAACAACAGACCGTGAAGATCGCCGCCTAAGATTATTGGCCTTAAGGGACCGTTTCTCCACTACCAGGTCCATTGCAAATGAATGGTTTGCAGAACACGGAAGACCTATTGGCATGCGAAGTGTTTACCGACGAATGAGAAGTTTTGGCTTGTTTTCATACCGGCCACACTGGGTCCTCCCTTTAACTCGAGAACACCGACGTAATCGCCTTGAGTGGTGCAGACAACGGTCACTCTGGGATCAGGAATGGAACAGTATTGTCTTTAGTGACGAGTCTCGATTTTGTTTAGGCATGCACGATGGTCGTGCCAGGGTTAGAAGGCGACGTGGTGAAAGGAGGAATCCACAGTTTTTTGTTGAAAGACATGTTCATCACACTGTTGGAGTTATGGTTTGGGGTGCTATAGCTTATGGTTCCAGGTCACCTTTAATCTTCATCAGAGGTAACATGAACGCGCAGCGTTATATCCACGAAGTTCTAGAACCCCATCTTTTACCCTATCTTGACACCCTGGCAGATCCAACTTTCCAACAAGATAATGCCCGACCACATGTTGCAAGAGTCTTCTTCTTCTTCTTCTTCAAGACTTCTTTCAACATAATGATGTCACATTGTTACCATGGCCACCAAGATCTCCCTACTTATCCCCAATTGAGCACGTGTGGGATATGATGGGTAGGAGATTGCTCAATTTGCAACGTCCTCCTCAGACTCTAGAAGCACTTCGAGAGGAGTTGGTTGTTGCCTGGAATGAGATACCATAGGAGGACATTGACCACCTGATCAGAAGCATGCCTAGGCGCGTTGGAGAATGCGTAGCACATCAGGGTGCATCCACACATTATTAAAGGTCAAAGGGCTTTAAGGCAGTGCAATCATTTTGAAATTTTTATCATTTACTTATTATGCTTCATTAAGTACTTATACAAAATTTTATTAAAATAAAACCATTTAAACTGGGTGTTCGGATTTATATGTCAATTAGTATAGAAGCGTAACTTTGGTGCGCTATAAAAAAACGCTACTTGTACACACGGGAAGTTACTGGGTATTTTTGTAGTTTCAAGCGAATTGAGAGATGCATACTTCCCCTTGCACCGTCCAGGTCCAGGTGGGTGGGCACTTCGCTTTAAGTCACGCTGTGCAGAAGGCGCTATCAACGACATGCCTTCGACCTCGCAGCATCTCCGTTCAAAGCCCGCTCGTGCGCGCATACCCTTTCGTGGATGTCTATTACTAATTGCATTCTCTCGTTGCGCTTCTGTGCACGATGCTTCCCGGCTAATAGTCGTTCGTTTTCTATGTAAATAATAAATTTCGCTTTCGTTCAGCTCAGAATAACGTCTTAGAGACACAACCAGGGACGGCGATTATTTGCTGTCGATAAATATTTATCTGATATAGATTTATAAAAAGCACAATATATATGGGCCTCATAGAAAGACGCGGCATGTGTTCCTCAAATTTGACAGCCTATATCTTCTTGACTTTGACGTTGTATTTTCGCCCTGCTTGTAAAACTCACATCTGTCTCAATAATCTGAAAATTATGTAAGAACGGGATAAGCAGTACTAAGTACTTGCCTCAATTTTTGGTATTCATTATTTGGACGTTAACCGAGACTCAGTTTGTTATTGAATTTATACACTATCCATTTTACGCCAAAGCGGTAATTTTTGAAATAAGGTAGATGAGGCTAAAAAACACGTTATTTTCGCTAGTATTTATTGTTAATCAAAAAATGGTATTTCCATGATGGATAAGTACGTGAATGAAAACATAAAAAATATGTTGAACGATCACATTTATTTTGAGGAAAAGAATAATGAAATAATGTATCTAGAAGTTATTTTCTCAACCGAATGCAGTTTGGTCTGAGTCACTTTTGGTAATAGACCAGATAGAAGAGCCGAGTAATGATCCCCCTCTTGATTGAATGACATCGCTGCATCTTTACATCTTGTTTCATATGAACCTTTCAATGAAAAATTTCTTCCTTTCCCCCAACACCCCAACAAAAAATATGGCATCACGCTTACGGGAAAAGTGGTTCCGGTTAATTTCGTTGAATATTTTTACGTTATGGGTCTTGGCATGCCGAACAAATGCTTCAATTGGCCCAGGCCCCAAAGAACAACGCGCCCGAAGTATAGGCTGTCCTATTCAGTATAAATGGGTAACGGTTAGCATATATTCGAGTATAATGAATACTCGTTCAGCGAAAGTGACCGAAATCGCTCTTCCACTTAAACCAGATATTCGAATAGATTCATAACTCCATCATACTGACTTGAACGGCCAATACCTAGACACCCGCTGGGTTTTGGGGCCTGTGCATATTAAGGAATCCCCATTATACTGACTTGGGCGGCCTATATCTTAGGGCCCATTGAGTTTTGGGGCCTGTGCCCATTAAGGCATTTGTTCAGGATGCCATGCCACTGAAAGCAGATTTCGAGTAAGGCTAATACCTCATTTGATTTGGACGGCCTATATCTTGGGACCCGTTGAGGTTGGAGGCCTGTGCCCATTGAAACATTTGTTCGGGACGACAAGACGCGTAATATATAAAGAAATCAGCGAAATTAACCGAAACCACTTTGCCCGTAGGCGAGTTGCCGGATTCTTTGCATACTATTGAGTCATACTGTACTGTTCGGCTATATTGGTATTCGTATTTTTCCCTTCTTTTTGGCTGCAACAGAAACATCCTATTTCGGAGCACCTCTCATATTTTCCGAAGATGTGAGATGCCACATTCCTTAGGTCCTGTAGAGATTTTCAACTTTTTCTGTATTTTTTGCCTTCTCTTGCACCCTATAACTCTATGACCTTTGCTATTCAGACTCTTAGTGTATGAGCTCAGCCTTCGACTACTTTGCGGAGATTCGGTTCTACTGGCATATTATGTGTTGACGATTTCTTCCTAAAAGCGTAAAGAACTTGAATTTAACAGAGAGTTAAAGGGTGTCTATTGAATACCCGAACACCTCAAAAAATTGGTAACCACGTACTTTTTGGAAATAGGGTTCTAGGAAGTTTTTATAGCACCTATGTACTGGTTTTACTTCATGTTGAGATTTTACGCATATGAAGTAATATTTATTTTTTATCCCTAAATAAATAATTTTCTTTATTCTTGCACCGATGATACATTCCTGCAACAAAATTAATGTTGAAAATGTTTCAATATCATAGAGCAATCAACTCACCGCTCCGGTATATTAATAATAATAATCATAACTCGTGGTATATTAATAATAATATTTATTGGTCCAACTACAAAGTTTTCCTATAAATAATAACATAAACTTAAGATACCCAAAAAAGTGGACACTTGTGCTTGGGTTTTAACCGAACTTGGATATGAATACAACAAATTTTCTATAAGTACTCTAGTGAAAATATATAAATTTGTAACAAATTATCAACAAATAAAATCTTGATTTTCAATGTCTACTGGATCGATTTAGAATTTTCTTGCAACATTTCTAGAGCCCAATTCGAGAACGTACGTCGGTTCATATGATCGAACGGCTTTAGTTCTTGAGTTAACTTGATCTTATAAGGGGCAGGCCAAGATTTCTACGCAAAATTTGCCATAGTGTGGTCTGAGCGATGCCCAATTCTTGAGAACGCCGTGGAATCGAAGTGTTCTGTTCGTTTGCGACGGAAGCTTGAACGGCAGCAATATTCTCGGCACTTCGACCAACCCGTTGTCTCACTGGCGCGGGAACGTCCAGCAGCGAATATGTGAACTCGATTTGTTTACTACTTGTCTACTGGGACGAGAATTTCGGTATTAAATTTTAATTATTTGTAAGCGTTGTTCGCTCGTGTACTTCACCACGATGAAAATGTTTTCTTTACTGAATGTTTTGACATTGACAGTTCGGTAATCGATTTAAAGGTGCGTTTACAGTGAAATTTCAAAGTTTTCAAGTCCCTATTGGAAAACTCGATGTATTTGGCCGCAGATAAAAAGCTGAAAATTCACTTGTAAATATTTTCTGAGGGATAAGAGCGCTTTCACCAAGCACCATCTGCTATTACCGTCACTAGCGGGACTCCTTTCTCGCTGTTGCTAAGTTGGCTTCTTCCCTCCCAGTTGCTTCGCTCATAATTCACAGCGCCTTGTCTATTTGTTCGGTTACATTTTCATTATGTTTCAAAAAGGTAGTTGGACTAATAAATGGAACACTCAAAACTGAAAATCATGCTTCAGCGGTCTAGAATCCTACGCCAGTAGATATTGCTGCCGATGGCAACACGTCTTTGATATCTGTGACACCGATACAATCTTCCACCAAATCAATAGTTTTCTCCTTGTTACATAATCGACAAATAAAGTAGATCCTGGACTTCAATGCTCATTGGTGGGTGACATATCCGCATACGAGCAATCAAAACGCGGGTATTTTGAAATATTTGCGATTTGTCCGAAAAGAAATCCTATATCAACCAATCGCCTTCCATGTACTGAGTATACCTCGACGGAATCACCCGTACTGTCGCTTTCCTAGAAGCTAGAAAAATTCATATTTATTATTAGAATACCTTTGTTTTAGGTAGCAGATTGATGTACATTGTGTAATTTGTTTCTCCAGCTACGAAACCGGTTGACTTTTCTGATGAGCGTTGCTGTACCGAGATTGGTTCCACAATTTCGTCAGATATTATCATAGCTTGGTGGCCCTTCAACAATAATAGTAATTAATAATAGTATCACGAATTATAACAATGATGACAATAATAGTGACTCTGACTCTTTTGAGATAAAATATAGATTCGGCAGAGTGACTGCTAATTTGTAGAAATATCAACTACATGAACCAACAATTTTTTGAACAACTGGAGAGGCTATTTAATTATTTTATCGAAACCCCCAATATTCCAAGACCTACGGTTACCGAGGTATGATCTTTTTTGTTTTTATGCTGAACAGCTAGAAAACGCACATAAATATCGTTGTCACTTGTTTCTTTTGTCCAAATAATAACGCAAAATAAATATGGATGACTGGATCACCTAATTAATAAAATGTATTAGGGTATGAATGGCAAAGAGTTATACGATTTGTAATATTTTCATCAAGATAAATAATTTTACTTTGAAAGGATTTAAAACGATTATAAGCCCTCACTAGTGTTATAAACCTTCACCACTAATGTCCTTAATACTTTCATAGACCTGAAAGGTACTTAATCCAGGTATGGAAAGTCATCAACTTGGAAACTTACATGCCTTTATTGCTTTGCTACTACTACTACTTTTATCAATCTTATCAGAGGTAGAACCTAACCCCCCTTTTTTCCTTATTTTGTCTGCATAACAAATTGTTTCTGATGTCTAAGTATATTGTTGAAAAGATGATAAACTACAGAGCTTTTCTAAGTATAGATAGGCTCAAAAAAGCGACAAGTTTTTTAATCGAATATTGAATTTTTTATTCACCCCCCAATTTTATTTGCTTTAATTAACCATGCACTCTACAGTTATTTTGTGTTATTATCCACATATGAAAACAATCTTATCTAATTGACGGAACTTAAAACATTTGCCTTTTCCAAAAAAAAAAAATCAATGAATAGCCTCCAAAATTACCCACAACAATTTCTATTCCCTGAATAGAACGTTCCATTTCTACATTGAAATTAAGAGCATTTCCCATCCTGACTAGTATCGAATCTGTAAATTCTAACATGAACAAAAAAGTTAAAAGCACAGCCCACCTTCCTGTGTACCCTCTATAGAATTTGGCACCCTTATCCACTTGATCCAATATATTTCTATAACGAATTTTAAGAATTCGATTCACCAACGACAATTGTAGCGAGTAAGCTAAGTTTAAAAAATTTCTAACTTGTCTGACTTAAATGATTAATCATTTTTTGCGTGGCAAATCACCCCAATCTCGCATCTAATAATCTATTAAAATAAAGATGATAAAGTCTGAGTTTCTACAATTTACATGAACCTTTAAACAAGTGTAATTTACGAGAAACGTCCGACCAAATATAAGTTTTGGAATTCAGGTTCTCAAAAATTATACGGAAGCTTACATTCAACTAATTGAAAGGTAGCTTCATATATACCGAGCCAGTTAAAAAGAATATAATTACACTATATTTACCTTTCATGTCATTTCTTGTGCCTCCTGCTCCTTTATTTACTAGGATATACCCAGTATTCACTTACATAGTTATTCTTCCCATTATGCGTTGTAACACACTTTAATCTCACTAACTAACTAGTGTTCAGTTTAAGTTAGGTTGGTACCTGCCGATTATCCCTTTTATACTCCCACAGGTATGCTGCTGGCTCATAAGGAGACGTTGCAGCAGTTAGTTGAAGGTGGCGCTGGCCTACCGAGACGCTGATGAGTCGGGCCACGCGGAGGTTAGGGTTTAGTGGGTATTAGGTGGTCTCCTCAAGACAACCTGGAGTCCCACACACGCCGTAGCTCGGGCTATGGTATGGTGCATAAACGCATTCCCCCTCACCAAAAAAAAAAAAATGCTGGCTCAAACGCTTCTTAATGACACACCCTATTGCACCGACTTTAGGCTGGTAGCCGTTAGGGGGCGCTATTTCAAGGGATAAGAAAATGCATTTCGTAGTTCCTGATTTTCTCAGTTTTCGAACGTAGAGACTTCAAATTTGGAAGTTGGTTATAAGAAATAGTTTTCTTGTTCGGAAACTACTAGATTCTACAAAAAAAGATACGGTTTATGAGATATCATCTATCTTTGACAAAAAAAAAACAAGTTTTTTCATATGATTATTGAGCTGAAAACTGCAGCAAAATCGGCCAACAATGAAGCAAGATATCCTAGAAGTATGTTTGCGGTGAGCTGAATGTATGCATGGATGTCAGCCTGGTCGTGTAGTGGTCTAACCGACCAGTGGCTAGAGTGCGCGATATCTTCATTTCGACAGTAAGTACATTGATTATTTACTTGATGTTTGTTAAAGAGTAAGCATTCTCTATTTTGATTAATGTCCTCAAATATTATCAAGAAAAAATTTGTACAGCGTTAGTGAGACACCCCTATTTTCAATAAAATGCTTTCAGTAATGGCGACATGACAATCTCTTGTGTCATGTTTCGTTTCTAGTAGGCCAAAAATCCTTTTTGAATGATGTACCGACACAAACGGGAAATTGGTTTTTGTAGCTGAATCGTGTGATATATGAAACATGTGATGATTTAATATGAGAATTAAAAGCCCATCTTGCACAAATCGAATAATTTTACTCTAGTTTGAGAGACATTTTGCAAGAAATACACCAAATTCATTAGATTCATTACGTCAAAGACGCCTTCTTATTGGTGCAAAGGTGCAAATTTTGATTCCCGCCGGTCAATAGTAAAATCGGGCCTTGCAGTTCCTTGGACAATGCTACAGGGGCAGGAGTATGCGAGAAAAAGGAAAAGTTGCCAAAACGGTTAAGATTTACATCTTTTCCGAACCTTCACACTTGGGGTGCGTCTCCAGAATGATCCGTTCGACCTAGGATCCTGACATTTTACAAATCTACATGCGTCCACAGGCGCTGCCCATGAAAAAAGAAATGAGTCAGATCTGAGATATAACCTGCCATCCCGCCAAGCCAGGTTGTGGAATTTTAGTTTTGACCCAACTACCAAAAACCAATATACATATATCGACGATGTTTCTTGTAATGCTCTAGAGATATTATGACTGAAATTATTTTGAAAAAAAAATCAAATAAATAAAATATTTATGGTCATATTACCTTTCCATAAGAAGTCTTGCATCCCATTCTCTTTGGCTGTGATATGCGGCTGTTTCATATCCCGACCTGAAGTATATGACACCTACAATGTTGCCGTCCCTGAAAACGTTCAACATCATTTTAGATATACATAGATGGTTTCTATAAGTCTTCTTACGGATTTTGGCGGGTCACAGTAAAACAAACCGGTATTATTTTTATACATTCATGGCCCACACACTTGTAAAATCGAAACTTCCCGCGACTTTAATCCATCAGAGCAATGTTACACTGCTGAACTGCTGCTCTACTTGCTTTCGATGGGCCAACTCGCGTCCATATGCAATCTGTTTCTGCGTTTGTTTGTGTAACCTCACAGACATACGGTTACTATCTTTATCTCACCGTATAGAACAATTTCTAGTAAACGTATGATGGTACATACATGCCTATTGAGTGGAAGGGAAGCGGTATGTGTTCCCCGAAAATGGCAGTCAACAAATACTTAAATGAAAATACTATCACACTTACGATACATGGTGAAATAATTGAAAATGTTGAATCATTAAATATATATACAGGGTTTGTCCGGAAAGTAATAGGACTCATTTTCTTCCATCATGACTGTACTTCGGAGCGTGCGCGCACCGACTGGATTCGGTAGAGGGCGTTCCTAGCTAACGAATGAGCGGCTGGTCAGTTATCTCCGAGCACTTGGTGAGTGGTGCAAGCCGAAAATGCAGCGTTCGTTAGAGTAGAGGTACGCGATTAAATTCTGTGTGAAACTCAGTAAATCTGCGACAGAGACGTTTCATATGATCAAGCAGGCTTACCCAGGTGTTGCTTTAGCAAGAAGTGGTGTGTTTCGGTGAAACCAGGCCTTTTTGGAGGGCCGGGAAGAGGTCGCTGATGAAGACCGTGCTGGAAGACCTTCGACTTGGACAAACACCGATAATGTGACTAGTGTGCGCAAAGTTTTGAACTCAGACCGTCGACTAAGTATTCGTTTAATTGTCCAGATGTTAAATTTACCAAAATCTGTGGTTCATGACATTGTGACACAGCATTTGAACATGCGCAAGGTTTGCGCGAAGATGGTCCCAAAAGTGCTCACTGAGGATCAGAAATTGCGGCGAGTGGAAGTGTGCCAAGAAAATTTGAACATGTGTGAAAGTGTCCCCCAATTTTTGAATAACGTAATCACCTGTGACGAGATGGATCTTTGAGTATGATCCCGAGACAAAGAGGCAACCTTCCGAGTGTCACACGACGGCGTCTCCTCGCCCAAAAAAGGGAAGGATGAGCAAATCCAAAGTGAAAACGAAGCTCATTGTCTTTTTTGACATCAAAGACATCGTCCACAATGAATTTGTTCCTCCTGGACAAACCGTCAACGCCAAGTTTTACGTGGAAGTGCTCAGGAGACTCAAACGAAGGGACAGTTGGGTCCGACAAGACATCGCAGCCGACTGGAAGTTGCACCACGACAACGCCCCGGCTCACACCGCCCAGATGTGCCCCCCCCGGACCTTTTTTTGTTTCCTCGCCTGAAAAAGCCGATGAAAGGCCAGCATTTTGAGACAACAGAGGGGATCCAAGCAGCATGCACAGCGACTCTCAAGGCTATTCCGGACACCGCCTTCCGTGACGCCTTCAATGCTTGGAAATCGCGCTGCCAGCACTGCATCGACGCAGAAGGAGCCAATTTTGAAAGTTTTTAAAGAATTGTAACGATTAACTCAATAAATTTCTTTAAATCGACTCAGTCCTATTACTTTCTGGACAAACCCTGTATATATATACCGGGTGTATCATATTTTATGTCGGTATTGAAATATCGAATGACTTTGATATTCACCAACCGAGTGATTTGGTTATACGTGTTTCTGAAACGTCAATTTACTACAGTTTTAGTCATGAATCGCTTTACACCGAAACAACGCGCCGAAATAGTCACAATGTACATTGAAAATCGTCGTTCAGTTGTGTTAACGCGACGTGCATATCGTCGAAAATATCGTGGCAAACAGGCACCGTCTGACAACACTATCAGTCGTTTGGTTTCGAATTTTCTTGAGTACGGGACAGTGGGAGATCGTCAACATACCGTTCATAAACCACCAAGATGTTCCAATAAATTGGTTGAAGCGGTCAGAGACAGCGTGGCCCAGAACCCAAAAGTGTCGTATCGACACCGCGCTCAGCATTTTGCCATCAGTGGAGCCACGTTGCGGGGCATTTTGAAGGATAATTTGCATTTGTTCCCTTATAAGGTGCAGTTAACACAAAAAATATTGCCAACTGACCATCGACGTCGCTTGGAATACGCCCAAACAGACCCTCGCTTGGTTGATACTGAACCTGATTTTTGGAAGCAAATTGTGATGACCGACGAGGCCCATTTCACGCACTCTAGCGGCATTAATAAGCAAGACTGCCTCATTTGGGGGACGGAAAATCCACATGGGGTCCACGAAATACCGTTGCATGACCGCAAAGTGACTGTTTGGGCCGGCGTTTGCGCCAAAACCATCATTGGGCTATTTTTCTTCAACGGAAACGAAACAGTCGATGGAAATCGATATCAGTGGACGTTGGCTCATTATATCTGCCAACAAATGCGTGAAAAAAGTTTTGATGATTACTGGTTTCAGCAAGACGGTGCGCCATGCCACACTACAAATGAAACAATCCAGTTTCTGCAACGAAAATTCCCTGGACGTTTGATGTCAAAAAGAGGTGACATTGATTGGCCACCCAGGTCTCCAGGTTTGACCCCACCGGACTTCTTGTGGGGTTATTTGAAAAGTCAAGTGTACGCCAGCCAGCCCCAGACCACTGAAGAACTCAAGGCAAACATTGGTATCGCAATCGCCGCTATACCACCAGAGATGCTCGAAAAAGTATTGGAAAACGCAGCAAAACGGGCACATTTTGTTTTGGCCAATAACGGTGGCCACTTGATAGATGTTGTGTTCAAAAACTAGTCCCAAAAATTGTAAAGGACCATATTTAATAAAAAATACCCGATATATAGAAATCAGTTTTTCGTTTTCAAAGTTATTTCATGTTTACATACCGACATAAAAGATGGCGCACCTGTATATATATACATATATATATTCTTGAATTTCTTTGGGATGAAGGCAAAGTTTTGCATAGGTACACTTTAACTTAAACTCTAGCCTTCGATGGTCTATGCCATCATCATCATCATCAGGAGCTAGAAACAAAATTTGTAAGTAGCAACAATAAATAATTAGTAGGAATATCATTACTTACTAAGTCGACGAGATTGTTGCTAAAATTGTTCTTAAACGACAGTAGAAGGACACATAGTCAACGAACAAAAAGCTGGATCGGTGAGGTTCAATTAGGACGAAAATTTTAATTATTAATTATTGGCAAAACCATAGCTATGCGTTTTCAAAAAAAACCACTAACGGATTTAGAAAAATTGAATATTTATTAACTATTGAAAATTCTTTCGAAATTTCATATTTTCTAGTACCCCTACATCTTCTACCACGTGCTAGCCGACTGACAATGGGTAGTGACGTGTGTGTATGACATTATTGACACACTATCGACCGCGGGAACACTCCTTGTGACGTATGTTGCCTACATTGTAGGGAATTACGTGAAATATTACAAGGAGGTACGTTATACTACAAGATGAAGTTCAAAAATTATTTTCTAAATCAATAAATGTTGTGGGAGGAATGAGATTTTGATATTATCCTCCGACAGTGCCAGGTAATACGAAATTTGAGGAAAGATAATTAGGAGGAAAATTAATTATTGATAGTGAAAATTATGCAATTAATGCGAATATTGAGAAAGATTGATGTTGGGAGAGATATGACGATTTTCCAATTTTCCGCAGTTCAACAAGTATGCATAAATGACGCTAAGTTGCTTGACATCTGCTTATTTGTTCATGCAAAACAAACGTTTTGATAGATGGTTTTCTCTGTCTAGGACCTTAATATCACTATGTCCCACTAAATGCCCTGTAGTGTTCACATGTATTCTGAAGCAAAAGCAGATATTTCTGGATGCAGTCTGGTATCACTTTTGTGTGAGATTATTCTACCTTTTAGAGATCTAGAGGTTTGACCTATATTATGTGAGATTGAAGTTATTGGATTTGATGAAATAGACAATATTGGATAAGCTAAGCAGAGGAACTGTATCATTCATTGTTGATTGTGAGGGAAGATTTGTAAGCAATACGACAATTTAAAGTGTTGCACAGTCAAGAAAGTTTTGACGTTAGGTCCTTGATATATGGCAGGACTGCAAAATTAATTCCGAAATTTGAGGGACTATCTGTATTGTTGATGTTATTGAAATGATTGTCATTATTATTGTTGGAAGTCGTGGCATTATTCTTATCATTATTGTGTGAAAGCAGTAGGAGAGCTGAACAAAATTTTGTTAATCAGGTATCTGGGATAACCATTATTGATGAATAGCGTTGAAAGTTTTCGTAAATTTGAAAGATGGAAAGTATGGTCAGAAATGCTAATAATCCTTGTCTTTATTTGTTTCACCAAACTTATCTTTATCTTAAGTTTATGGTAAGACCTGAAGTTCAGGAATATGCCTGATGCCGTGGGTTCTATGTACCAGTCTATCAATAAGATATTATCGATTCGGATCATTTTTGAGTCCAGGAAAGGAGACCATAGTTGTTAAAATCGTCTACAATACTGTCCAAACCTTCAGCAGGGAGACAAACAAAGATGTCGTCTACGTCTTTTTTCATAAAGAAAAGGTTATAGGGCAATACCTGAATGACAATATCCAGCAGGTCATCAATTACGTATTCTGCTAGAATTGGTGATAACACTGATCCTATTGGACATTATTATAAAAAAAGAGATGTAGATTGCCATTTACAAAATTACAATGGTAATATATCTAGCAAATCGATATTTCAAAAACTAAATAATGATAAAAAATCTACTTGTAATTTAAAGATGTTAAAAAGGAAATTAATGAAATGTTTCATGGACAGTAAAAATTCTTAGATATGCAAGTTTTATTTTTCTAAATATCTATGTTGTGTAATTGTAGTGTTTTAAAAGAATGTAATTTTTGCAGTCATGCTAAATAAAACTTAAGCAAACAAACAATGTTTGAGAATGAAGTCAGAAAAAGTCAATCGTATATCCCACATTGTCAAGAGCCATTTTCGCACACCTAAGCGTGCACCTTTAGTGTTTCAGGTCTATGTTTGTAACTGGCAGAACCATAAAACAGGTGCGATTTGAGTTTGCCTTTTTTCAATCTTCGATATAAAACATATCAACGAAATGCCTGAAAACACTACTATTGGACCGCGTCGACAGTTTGTGCTATGCTAAATCTATTGGAACGTTTTCATAATATTAATTAAAACAACGGTGATATAGGTGTATGCATCAAAAACAATGGTGATATATGTATCACCTAACCACGAACGAGAAGCAGCTGTGTTAAGGATAGCTTTTTCCAAAGTGTAATTTCCCTTAAGATTACAGTGTACTTATTCTACTACTTATTTCGTATGACACTGCTACGTAACTGCCAAAATTCGTGAAAAGAATAAAGAGTTATAAAGAATTGAGGAATACTAACACAATAAGTTCCTTATCCTTGGACAGAGATGCTCGATCAGCCATTTGTGTCAGGGTTCTCCTGATAACTTTTACGTGTGGGTTTAGTCTACGAATTTCAAATTCGTGAAACCTTTGATCGCATATATTGTACGTGACGTCTTCTACAATAAACAAGATAATGGCAGTTTTGTTATTGTACATCTTCCATGCGTCCAGCATGCCGTTGCAAAGACCTGCTAGAGCTCCGTTTGGTGGGATCTTGAACAAATTATACCTGGTTAAAAACAAAATGAAGCTGTTGTCAAACTACTGAAATTTTGTGATACTGCGACCAAATTAATTTTTTGTTCAGTTGGATTAGTATAAAGAGTCAGCGACGTAGAAACATGTATCAGCAGGAGATGAAGTATCCTAGTTTCTACGGCATTGGACCAGATAAATGTTTATGTGAAGAAAATTACAACCCGTCTATGTGCGTATCGATAAGCCAACCAAATTACTTACATGTTCCATACTATCTAAGCGTCCTATTTCTGTCAAGATAAATCTGAAACATTTATTGAAATAATTTTAATAACGCAAGGCATTTGTGCATCAAAAGGATAAGTCATAAACCATTTTATTATTTTGAATTATATCCTAAAAATAAAGAATATGGATCAATATTAAATATAATAGAATATTTAGTGACTTCTCTGTAGTATTGAGGTATAAATAGATGAAATGTATACTGTTATCGAGTATTAGATTCTTTTTAGGACAAATCTACATGGCCAAAGGCAGACATATGCGATATACGAATCAAATTTAAACAGATCAATATTAAAGTCGGCCAGAAGCAAAAATATGTGATACAAAAATGAAATTTAAAACTGATTAATCTTAAAATGTGCATGGTTTAAAAAATCTATTGAGGTTTTGGAAGGTACTACGAGTACATACTTTATAAACGTTGATAATAATCTACAAGCAGCCACTAAAGTATCCCGCTACATTGGTCCTCAGTTTCAATGCGCACTAATGGAATAATGGAAACTTGAAATTCCTATTTCACGGGCTACATCTTAAACGGCTTGATAGATTTTGACAAATGAGGTATTTTAATTAATATTTTCAACTTTAAAATTCCTATTCTATGAACTACCGCTTAAATGGTTTGAAGGATTTTGACATACGAGATGCGTCTTTAGAATTCCCTTGGCAGTGCGAGTGAGACTGGGTATACAATCGAAAAACTTGGGAGCAACATTTAGGTGTATTCTCACATTGCGAATTCCCATAATTTGTATTCGGCAATAAAACCATTATATTGCGTTACTGCTCCGTAGATCATTATGAAATAATTCATAATATTGTACGCAAAATCTTAGAATTAAACAAAAACTTAACTTTATAGTGGACCCAGTAACGTATGCGGTCAGAATACGAGTATTTCATTTTTGTACCATTACTGCAACCATAATTACATAACAAATATTGTATTAGCCAATATTTGTCCATTCAAATGAAACCGCATAAAAAGTCTAGTAAGAAGTAGGTAATACTCAGCCATATTTGTAAGCCTATTTGTCCTAAAAGGATCAAGATACGCTACAATACACGATGATTCAACACTATGAAATCAGATTTGTTAACAGCGTGACATTCTATTAGAAAACGGTATGTTTTTAACTTGGACGAAAATTACTAGGATGTACTGTTAAACAAATTATTTCCTTTTGAATTTTTCCCTAATAACATTCGTGAAAGGCCCCAGAAAAGGACCAAATTTAGTCGATGCGAAAAGCGGACAGACCTTTAAAAAATAAACAATCACTTAAAACCAACCATCCTGCATAAGCGATTTTCGGTCATTCTGGAAAAGATGTCCACAATAAGTTCATGTATTGTTCATGTCTCAAGTAATGTGACAATGGCTATTAGTATAGCGGTAAAATATAAATAAGATTTATTTTCGTACTTGAAGTCGCCAAGTATCAAAATCCCAGTACAAGTACAAACGTTTCTCTACATTTCGATATGAATCGAGTCTTTCACTTTGAAAATGTTAAATACTCTCCTTATATTATTTTGGTAATCGCCTTCCGAATGGTCACACAGTGAGGATGAGGAGTCTTCATTAAAAAAAATATTCTACTTTTTTGATCCAGGCAAATTCTACTCGTTCGCTCATTCTACACAAAAGAGATATTTAGTAACGTTTAAAGTATTTGGTTATTTTTTTGCTTTTTGAACCACTCTCTATTATTATTTATCTAAACCTCAAATATACTATTCAAAAGGTATATTCCTATAAGAAAACTATTATAAATCGAACAGCAAAATACAGTTAGACTTGGGTAATTTTAGAATGCTGTGTACAATCCAATAATCGAATAATGTGCACCATTTTGATAATAATTTAATCGGAATTACTCCTATCAATTTTAGCAGAACCACAAGTTTTCATAACTGTCTAACGCATGATTTCCGGGTGATTGATCGCTGTAGTTCTTGGTGAGACACCCCTGTATAGTTTAAAAAACGATGCCACTCTGTAAAAGTAACTGACAAGCTGTCATAGTTGGGTATTTTTTCGGCCAAAATATCCCGTAGCTCCAGAAGTTGCTGTGCGAAAAAACTTTTCGGAATACACAATTTTTTTTTAACAAATAGCGCCATCTGTTGGGCGAGTCTCCTACTCGCCAGATCATAATTGCCGATCTCTGCTTTTACGCAAGCCGCCTGGCGGCGTCTGTGTGGACCGTGACAGTGGATCGCTTTGTAGATCGATGCGAAGTGACCTCCAATATTCTAGATTTCGCCTTGTGGTTCACCAGACCTTTCTCGAAGCAGCAATGGGGACTATATTGTAAGCAACGAGAATTTTCGGGAGCCGCTGCCGGTCACGGGGAGTACTGCTGCGTTATCTGCTGTTATCACTTCGACCAGCCGTCGACAGTCAGTCTGAGCAGAAACGTTGGGCGGTGCGCGTCGTGCCCGGATTCCCTGCCGCTCAGTTATATCGATAAACAATATTTGTTCGTAATAAAGGTGTATTTAACCAAAACTAGTGTTTTTCCGCATTGTTTCTAACAATATATAACTCGGCGGCCGCGAGATGGAAGCAGAGTATTGAATACGGTAGAGTAGTAGAGCGAAGTGAAGTATAGTGACAAGAATTAGTCAGACATAAATAGTCGTGTATATAAATGTTTTATCAAGTTAAATAAATTAGTGCATTTCTTTTTGTGGAATCCAGTGTTTTAATCCACACCCAAAAGAACCCAGAAAAACGCTACAATATAAAGGATATTCCATTTAAGAAATATATTGTCAAACAGTTATGAATAAGCCTATAGAGAGTGGGATATTTTCCAAGTAAAAAGCGTATAGTTGCCTACAATTATATCTCTCTAAATAACTTTTTTAGGTTATCTCTCAAAATATCAGAACTACCGATCCATTACATTTTTTCACTTTCACACACTATCTGATATCACTGAGTAACTACTTGATTTTCATAATATTGAATCACCTTGTACATATTAAGCATCCACTTGTAACAACGAACGATAGGTACACCAAAGGTCGGGAATTTAACCCATATCAAAATGACTTGTGTAATACGCGTTACAAGGTGTATTTTTATCATAATACGACACAGGTCTTTTGTTACAAGCAGACACGCACTCTTATTTAACTTTACTAAACGCCATGCCATCAGCATTCTCGAATATATAAGAATATGAAAAAAACAGTGAACGGAGAAAATGAAAAAAGTAATGAAGGTGAAAAACAATGAAAAATAAAAATAGGATTTTGACATTATCAATTTGCAGGGGTACCAAAATAAACAGTAGTATTAGATGGCAAAAGTATTATCGAGGAAACTAGAGGAATTTAGAAAGAATAACAATGTCCGCAGTGAACTGCTGCACAATCTGCGAATTCCACCAAAACGTAGCGGTAAGCGGTAATTCACAACATTTGTTCTATTTTGCATAATCTGAGACGTGGATTGCTCAAGAAGCTGTTTTCGAATAATCTTTCGCATTTTGGAGTAGAATGAAACAACAGCAATACTTGAAATTTTACATATTTTGCATCAACGTATCTCCCCTATTATCTATCAAAAACAGGTTTCTGTACACTATTAATCTATTAATTCTACAAATGGGAACCAAAAGATTTGGGCAAATCAAATAATTGTTATATGAGTAGCTCGCAACTCGTCAACGTGCTCTTTGGGACAACGAATATCCCCTATTTAAGGTAATGAGATTTATCTAAATAAGGCAGCGCAAAAAATCTTCCTGCGTGTCCTTAAGGTCGCGACAAGAGAAGATAAAAATGGAATTGAATGCGAGCTCAAAACTAGATAGATACAGATCATTCGCTTATACGACTTTTAGTTTATTCTTTATCTTCTAGTCTCCTTGATAACAATTATATACTTTTCTATCATGTTCGCGTATAATTACAGAATTTTCATTTTTTCCCCATAACCTTTATATGGCTAATTTTCTGTTTCTAATGCTACGATCAAGCTGATTTACAATATACAACTTTAGTTTGCTATATAATGAAAATTGTATACTTCATACTACTATACATAAGGCTATAAAATTAAAATATTTACACATGCAAACGAATCTAACAATAAACGGTAAACAATAGTAAAGTTCTTGTAACAAAAACGGCATCAAACTTAATGAACAAATACCGTAAGGTAAATTTGCTCACAAATAATATATGAAAAGGTATTTGTATTTTGCCTACCCAAACTCCACTACAAAGAGTATGTTTTATCCGTCAAAGGGTACCAGGAACCATAATACGATTTTCATTCGTGCAAAATAGTAGTAGTAGTAGCAATCTATATTTTGTTTAGAAAGATCTAAACTTCTAATTTCTTAGGTCCGTATTTAATTTTTGCTTCAATTCGATTACCCACAATTTGATAAACGTAATGGATGCGTCCAAAAACGATACTATATTGATCTCGTGAAAATAAAGATACTGAGATCCAAATATACAGGGTGGGCCAAAAGTTCCTGACTGATTTTAAAAATTCATAAGTTTTTCCCAACATATTTGATTTTTTTTTCAGATTTACCAAGTAGTGCTCTGGATATTTTAGAATAGAGAGACTTAATCTAACCCAGAGAACCAAAATCGTACAATTTTAATATGAACATAATCATTCGATCGTAAACACCAAGAGAGCTTATCGAAGATTTTTTAATGTTCTAAACGCCCCATTCACTGGGGCTATCCGCAGCATTATTCGGCGTTTTCAAACCTAGGGTTCTGTATCGGACCTTCCCCGAACTGGACGACCACGTTTAGCTTTCACTGGAGAAAACACAGAGAGAGTAGAGGAATGTGTTCAGGAGGACCCCGAAACATCGACCAGAAGAAGGTCAACTCAATTAGGCCTCTCCAGGACATCCCTCAGAAGAATTTTGAAACATTTGCGGATGGTTCCTTATAAAATTCAAATGGTTCAGCACTTACGACCACAAGATTATGCACAACGACTAAATTATGCCATTCGTTTTCAGCATTTGGTTAGAGAGGAAGAAATTTTTTAAATCGTCTAATAATGAGTGATGAGACGCATTTTCATCTGAATGGTTTTGTGAATACGCAAAATGCAAGAATTTGGGGAAGGCAAAATCCGAGGGCTGTACACGAGAGTGAATTACACCCCATTAAATGTACGGTTTGGTGAGGTGTTACCACCTATGGTATTATTGGGCTTTATTTCTTTCAAAATGACGATGGAACTGCGGTGACTGTTACTGGCGAGAGGTATAGAGCTATGCTTGAACATTTTTTGATTCCAGCGCTTGAAGAGAGACCTGATATGCGGTTCCAAAAGGATGGAGCCACAGCTCATACAGTTGGAGCCACAATGGCATTGCTAAGAGGCTTCTTTGGAGAACGTCTGATTTCAAAAAGATCGTCAATTCAATATCCCCCACGTTCCCCTGATTTAACCGCGCCAGATTCTTATCTATGGGGATATTTGAAAGACAGAGTTTACCGCAACAAACCTCAAACCTTAAGACAGCTTATGGACAATATCATAAAGGAAATTCGACCCATAAATTGGGAAACATTGGAGGCAGTTATGGACAATGTCTTGGAAAGGAATGTTGTGTGTGAAAGAGAAAATGGCTGTCACTTACGCGACATTATTTTTCATATATAGTTTATACGAAAAAAAACCTCCAATAAATATATTTTATTATTGTAAAAACTACATTAAAACATATTAATAAATAAAAAAGTTATTAAAGTTTAAAATAGGTCAGCTTCTTTTGGCCCACCCTGTACCTTAGTATAACATCACTCGTTTACGAGATACAGGGTGCTAAATTTAATTTTCTGTTATTGCTATGCCCACGTAAAAACTGGGAGTCGGGTATTTCTGGGGATATGGAACGTGATTATATCCTATTTTCAGCATAATATGAAAAGGGCACTAGTTATAAGTTATAATTGCACTATTTTATGGTGGTCTACATTTATCTGGATTTTAAATACAGAACCAATAAGAAAACACTCAGTTTTCGCGGCGATCGTTGCAGAAACATGTCACATAAAGTTTAAAAATCTCCTAATCTTTTGATCTTGGAAGATCTCATGAAATTTCAAATTGGATGTGTTTTAAAAACGGTGTATACTTTGGAAACTAGTAAAAATCTCAAATGTCTATTTAAGGCAGTATTTTGGAGTGGTTGCTCTTAGAAAAATATGGAAAGTGCTGTAATCGAATATTTCTCTAACTACGTGTTTGGTTAATTTTTATTTATCGGACTTGAATTTGAAAACTATTAGAAATCACAAGCGACTACCCACATTTGATGAGAAATAGAAAACGTCCTGATTCATTCATTCACCCGTGAATCATTTAGAAACAGGAGAAGCAACTAATAAAAGATAGTATAATTCTGTACCTATCTAACTGGGTAATGGCGGTGGAGATGCCTGCAAAGCTTGAGGCTATTGTGTTCATTTCCACTTGCTTTAATGTATACTCGTGTAGCATGTAGTCACACCGAAGCAGGCCCAAAGCTATTCGCTGAAACCAAACCATTATACATACACGTGCCATAACGATCATTACAGAAGTCTACGTTAAATATGGTTTTAATCAGCCAAACCATTATTTTATTAAAATGGATCCATTGGTATTATCTCTGATGAAATTGCCTTTTCTTCTATGTCGTTGAAATATAATAAACAACCTCAGATCAAACTACTTATGTCTTGGAATCTAAACAAGCATTTTTGGTTTTATATTCGATCAAAAGGAATTTGAGTAGGCATAGCCTGTATGAAAATTATATCCCTATGTGGATTCTTAGTTTTTTTACCCGTATAGGATAAATTACTCTTTATTGAATAAGTTATGAAATACAACACAAGAAATGTAACCACTGCATTTAATTTTTGCAAATATTCACGATGTCTTTTCAGCCAAGCTGATTTAATGAATTCTTATCAGTATCAATAAATTCTATCATGGATTGCAAATGTATTTCTGATACAATACTTATAGCTATATATACAGGCTTTTTGTGGCTAACTTGGTGAATCAAACTTTAATTATGAAGCATTCTAAATGTGAATTACATTTTCATTTTACATTTGACGGTCACATAAGCGATGCCTAAATATGGCAATCCATATAAACTCATGTAATGATCATTTCACGTGACTTTTTATATGTACAGTTTGCTATATACACAATATAAATTTCATATTTACATGTTAATAGAGTACATGCATAATTTACACTACACTTTGGTCTGAGAAAGACAGCGCCAACATATACAATTCCTGACATGAGCGCCACAACATCATCAAGGAGCTCTACCAATTAGCGAAAAATGCAGATCATCGTGTAGCTTTCCGATACGATAGTAAATAATACAATTATCACGCAATTGCAGTCATATCACTTTTCTAGACAAACGAGGCAAAAATCCCGCGTTCGTGGGCAAACTTTACCAACCTGTTTTTCATAATCACGTTTGATGGATGCTTCTTAACAGGATGTCTAGCGGTAGACCGGTCTTTTAATTTTTTTTTAAATAAATTCCTTAAGGTTTTTTATCATTAAGAACAAAAAAGTTCTCGTCTGATTATATTTTTAATAAATGAGCTTATTTAGATCTTGTATTATAATTAAGAAAAGTACCAATTACTTTATTAAGCACATTCGATTCAAGAATCTCGCCATTGCTATCGGAATCAGAGATCTGGCCTGTTATTAGTCAACACAAGCCCGCTAAAACATAGGACGAAGTGATATCTATATTTAAAATAAATTCGGCCACTCCTACATTTTTCTCAGTTTGCCTAGTTGATATCTCAGAGTTTCCATTAACTGCTTGTAAAACACTATCCTGAGTTTCCTCTGGTCGAGACGTAACAGGATTTTTGGATGAATCATACTCATTTAAATTTCGAACCAACTCTGAGAAAATGGACTTCCTACTGCCTTCTTTCGGGAAAGATACATTTTTGCAGTATTTTTAGTATTTTTGTAGGACAGCTCGTCAATCTATCGAACATTTCTTCATTGCTAAAATGACCTCCTGGCATCTTTGATGATGATAATAAAGCAATATTAACAATACAAAGTAATAACAATACTCCGTGACATCTAGTCGAGCAATACTTTGCAACTATTAAAAAAATCGTTATCATCAAGAAAATAAATGTGATAGGTACATCGTTGAATTTGTATAAAAAAAATGTTTGTACTTTTTTCGGAACATATATACCACTTGATTCCAAGTCAAGTAGCTTAAAAATCAAGTCAAGCAGTAAATTTCTAATTAAGAGGTTGGGTGTAACATTTTTTTAAAGAAAATTAAAATTGTTTTTTTTTTCGCTGTTATCAAGGTTTCTTTAGTTTTTTTTAAATAAAGTTTTCACTAACATTTCTTAAAGTTTTAGAGTAATAAGCGAATGAAAGACTGAAAAACTCTAAACATAGACATTTTCAATGCGAATTTTTCCAAAATCGTTTTAATTTTTTCCTGACTTTGTAGGGCGATTTCAAAAAAAATTGCACCTTAGCATTGCCATTTTTCTTCTTTACAAGATGGTATAACTAGAATTTCAATATGACGTTTTCTTTGTTGTCCTCCAGCATTGCGGGTATCATATTGGATTTTTGCATAGATGAATAGAGGTTTTAAGTCTGATTCCCATCAGCCAGGAACAAGTTATAAATAATAAGAATAATACGTCAGAAACCGTTTCGTAGAGAAAGTATCACAAGAAAAACTAATCTAGTAGGGAAGGAGAATAGGAAATTTGAGGTATTTGACTGAGACACACATTATTCTTGCCCACGGCCTAACAGGACATCTTGTCGTATTCACATACAAGAGGGCCGCGGTAAGAAGGATGAAAATACATATACGGAAAAAGCAGGAAAAACACTAAAACTTATATGCGCAACACTATAGTCTATTACCATTAACCCTGTCTGGATGACAGATAATGGAAGTTAAAGAAAAGGAATTGAATTCTTCTGGCGACTCTAAATTTTTATACCTGGATTTTTTATAAATTCCATAAAGCAGCGAGAGAAGTGATTGTGTATTGTATGGAGCAGGAAACTTACGCACGAGTAAGTTTAGGTAAAGATTGTCTGTCTCAGTGTGTAAGATGCTAAATGCATCCGAAAAAAAAGGTGATCTAAGTCGCCTTTGACACTGTAATGCTTCTCAAGATCCGAGAGCATTAGATTCAACCTAGAGAGGTGCGAAGACGAGGAATTGTTTCGACTTCCATCACCAATTTCTGATTCCTAAGTTCAGTGGTATGTTTCCTTGGTTGGCCATTAATTTGTTGGCGGAACGAAAACCATAACGACATAAAAAGGTAAGGAGAAATCTGAACACGAAATGAAATTTTTATTGATGGTGATAACAATAATAATCATGAATAAGTGAAGATAAGTCAAGGAAGATGTTCAAAACCTTTTCCGTTACTTTGTAGGCAAGGCCTACACTTCTCTGTACATTGTGCAGTCGGTCTAACATATTTCTCTTCCTCTCACTTTTACAAACTCTGTTACTATATCCAATTTGGCGCCTGGTCTACAAAACAAATAAAGATTTGATACTTTCAAAGCCTACCTAGGAAATTCTGTTATTCGGAAATAACTGAGTTTGGCAATGTCAATGTATACATTTTTGGAATCAGAATTATAAACTCTATTCACCCGTGTAAACATTCAATATGACGTCTATAAGGAAAAATAAAGTTGATGCTGGAGGATAAGAGACGAACATCATATTGAAATTCTAGTTATGCCATCTTGTAAAGGAGAAAAAACAGCAATGTTAATATGTAATTTATTTTGAAACACGGGTCTGAGCATTTAAAAAAAACTGAGCTGCCAGCAAATGCGTCTGTTTCATTTTCGATGCGCCACCCTGTATGCTAGAGGGAGACCTCCTAGAGTTTGCAGTTGTAAACATCTTGGTAAACATACAACGACTAAATAAAATAACAATGCTTTAAAATAAACTAAGCTCAAAATTTCCGTTTGGGTCCTATACGGATAGGTTTAAACTTTAGGCAGTAATGGTTTTTTGACATTGAGAACGATACAAATTCAAAGAAAACATTGTTGCGAAAAAACATTGTTTGTGATTTGTGTAAACAATATTGAATCGAATTACCGCCCGGCAAGTAGCGTGATTATGAAAAAAATTGAGATGTCTCCCACGTATGCGAAGTTTTTGCCTCATCTAAAGGGTGAAACCATAATAGGACTGTGAATCTTGCGATCAATTTCGCTATTTAAGGCATTACTCCTGTTAACAGTGGTAACTAAAATTATTTGCTATCATAATTGCTTTAAGCGGAAAACATTTATGCTGATTTAGTGAAACAAAATGATCACACATGAACAATAACAGTGTGATTAGGCATTATTTTCTTCACCAAAAGCATCGTCAAATAGTAACACTAGGCGACAAGAAGTAGAAATTCCCAATAACCATCGGATTTTAGGGTCCTGTTATCACACCTTAAAATTTACCTAGTTAAGACAAAAAAATCTACATCTTACGAATATACAAAAAAGCGTGCAAAAGAGAACAAAATGTGCAGTGCAGTAGAGGAAAGCTATAAGCAGAATATTTAGAATATTGAAAGTTAGGAACATTGAAACCTTCATTACTCAATTCATTTTACCCTTTCACAGCTTTACTACTATCAGAATGGCCACATAAATGAAGAATTGAAGTATTGATTCACTTATGGATTACTATTTGAAAGGTACACAAATAATTTGAATTACTATCATTGTTGTTCTTAATATTCGAATATACATCTTTCAATTTTTAAAGCTACGGAATGCTGAGAGGTAAGTACGATTGTATTAACGTGATGTAGTCTGCATCCTTGTGTGTTATACAACGGAGTGTTTCTTAACGAGTGTCCAATATTTCTAAGACATGGTATATAAAAAAATAAAACAAATCATAAAAATTGATACTAAATTGCTTTCTTACCGGGATATCACCTTGAAATCTTGTATACATGGTGGCCCAACGAACAGGTCGCACCTTTATTTGTGACTCTCGTGATATATTTTGGGAAAAACGCTCGGATACGTCAATTCTGATTTCTAGGGGGACATCTTTTCATCTATATCAGTACAATACATGGTGATACAGAAATATGATATTGCGTTACACATTAGGTTTTGTAATGGAAACCCCCATTTTTTTAATTTTTAGGTTTTTCATCAAGTTTTTAGAAATTTTTGTATAATAAAGTTTATACCTATCTTCAATTGTTGTGAAGCTATTTGAGTTTATAATAAAATTCTAGGAATTTTGATAATAAGGGACTACATCTATCGTAAAAATAATAATCAATATAGTTCCTAAAGTAACAAGACTTTAAAATTAAGAACAACTCTCAGAGTATTAAAAAAACAAAAAACAATTTAGAGCTTACACGCATATTAAAGTTGAAGTAAAAGTTAATTTGCTATAAAGAGATAGGTCAATGTGGTAATGAGTGCTGAAAGTGGTGTCCATTTACCTACATGCAATAACAAAGATATGTTCGCATCTATTCATCCCATTTTCAAGCACGCCTTGAGTTATTTGTCTACTATATATTCAGCCATAGTACAACATGCTGTGGAACGGTATTGGTGCTGACCACTACTGAGATATTCGGAGTTACTCAGAGTAATACAACAGGGCCACTAGAAAGCATCTTAGGTATGAAACTTAACATTTCGAAATGAAAAACAAAATTTTTCTATGATATACGATGACACTGACTGATGCTAAATGTTCTTGCTGGTATCCATAATTATTTTTTGCTGAGCATTCCATTATTATCAGTATAAAGTTAGTCGAATTTTAGTATAAACTCAAATAGCTTTACAACGATTGAAGATAACTTGATTACACTGCAAAATCTAAAAATTAAAAAAATAGGGTTTCCATTTCAAAATTTAAAGTGGGTCTCCCTGTATTGTATGGCTATAA